TAGGATTACCATCTATGAAGGAGATTATTTTGTTTTCAAAATATGAATAGTTAACCCTTACTGAATGCTTCTTACATGGCAAGAACTCTTCTAAGAACTTTACATATATTGTCTCAATTACTCCTCATAGTGCCTGGTATATGGAAGGCACTTGAAAATATTTGCTGATGGATGGAAGGAAGGAAGCAAGCAAGCAATTGATATTATAGAGGTGCTGGTAAACTTGGGAGCTTATTTACTTGTCATAAAGATGCAATGGGAAACTCTTCCAAAGAAAAAATTAATGCAAAGCACACACAAATTGTAACCACAGTATTAGTTACACATCATAAAAGTACTAAATTATATATAATAGTGAAAATAATAAGAAACAAATAGCTTTCTAGGTCAATGTCTCTTGAATTTATCCAGCACAAAAGAAGCAGGAGGATTATTTTGCTGTTATTGGAAATTAAAAAAAAAAAACACCTTTTTGAGATTTACCTCTCTTACTTATAGACACAAAAATAATGTATTTGTTTCCCCAGGACACCCCACCCATCTGGTTATATTTCAGGGAGCCAAAGAAACTAGTTTGTTTTGAATAATGATTTGCATAAATAGACACACACCATGACTCTAAACACCTCATTCAGTTGGAGTAAAATGAACTTCACTTTACTTGGAGCTGTCACATTGTGATTTATTTTTCCATTCCCTTCCATCAGTGGACTGTAACCATCACAGCACATTGTATACCTGTCCTTTGTGCCCCAAGGGTCTTTTGTTTCTAAGAAACACAGTGATTGTGATGTTGGGTTGAGGAAGAACACAGCATAATCAGCCCAGCCTGGCCCATGACAAATTATGAAGTAGATATTCCTGGTTTCTCTGTTTTATCATCTGAGGCTCTTCTCTGTTCCACCAGAGTGGTAGAACAATTGGTCAAGACCTTGCTTCCCAAAGGAGCTCTTATCCTAGATTTTGGTGAAAGGTCCTAAGACAAGGAAATGTCCAATGACCAAAAGAATGGGACATTCTTCCTGGGTAGCCTGATAGATCCCCTTAAAATATAGACACTTTCATGGTGATCCTACTTAAGTCATGAGATGTATCCATCCAGGATGGATGGAGAGATTGGAGAGATTGACTCACTGACTTATTCATTCAATCATTCAACAAATATTTATTGAGCACCTAGTGAGTTTCAGGAATTGTGCTGAGAGGTAGGATTCAGAGATGAAAAATAAACTCCCTCCCTGCCTTCAGGTAGCTCTGCCTCAAAAGTAATGCAGTATGGAGTGCAGTTTGGGGCATAAAATTCTGGTAATATAATCTCACTGGGCCTCAGTTTCCTTATCGACAATATGTAGATGATAACATTGTCTATCTCCAAGGGTTAATGTGAGAATTAGTTAAGACTTACAAAACACTGGGCCGTGTTGAGTACATGGTGCTTAAAAACATCCTAGAGACTTTTATGCAGTAGAATGACAGCATTGTTTGTTCACTTGTGTATAAATGGGTAGAATACCCCAGTTCCACAGATATTAAGTTTCATAGGAAAAATTCAAGGCCCTTTAGACCCCTAGAGAGTTTAACAGTGAAGTTGAGAGTTTACGAGTGGGTCTTTCTGAAGGGGAGGATAAAAGTTCAGAGCCAGCATACCAGAAACCTGAGTTGCAACTGGTCTTGAGAACTTTCTAGAGTCCCAGACCGTCTCCTTTTGTCGCTTCTGACCCAGAAGCCAACGTCCTTCCTACTGGTCCTGACTTCATGTCTCTGTTAGCTCAGAAACTTCCACTTGGATTATTCCCCAGTACCAGCTTCCTGCCAGAAATAGATCTTTTTTAGACTTGATGAATCTCTCACTGTCAAATGCACAAGTTCAAGCATAGGCATATTTGCTAAACTAGCCTGCTGCTGAGGGCATGCCATCTCCTACATAAGCAATCAGACACCAGCACACAGATCTCTCAGTGGCATAGCCATAGATTGCCTGCACTGTCAGTTCCACGTGGAAATGGGGAGCTGTTAGCTCTGGAAGGTGGAGTCATCTGTCTGATGGCACACAGTAACACACCCGTGGATTTGAACCAGGTCTCCAATGCCAGAGTTCACACTCTTTACCCCACACTGTTTTGCTTCCAAAAAAATAGTGAAATGATGAGAATGAGGCTTTTGGGCAGGAGCAGAGGATGTCACCTAAATTTATAGTTTGAGTGCCTTTGGGAGGCTCCTTGGAATTCCAAATAGTTCTTTCACAGTGGGGACACCGTGCCTGAAATCCCACCATTCTAGTTCAGTTCCTTTGGCCTGATATTTATGGCCTCCATTATCCCTGATCTAATCACATCCATGCAATTGTTTCCATGCCAAACTGACTGGCTTCCCAGCCCCTCCTTCACACCACCCTGTTCAGCTTTCCTGCCTCTCTGTCACAGTTCATGCCCTTGTATCCACCTGACAAACACTAATAATTTGCAATGGTAAATGCTCAACAGGTGTCTGCCGAAAGAATACATTTCCTCAATACATTACTCTATGAATCTTCTTTTAAAGTTTTATTTACTTATTTTAGAGAGAGAGAAAGAGTGCACAAGAAGGAGGAGGGGCAGAGGGAGAGGGGAAGCAGACTCCATGCTGAACAGGGGCTGGAAGCAGGTTAGATCTCATGACTCTGAGATCATGACCTGAGCCAAAACCAAGAGTCATATACTTAGCCAACTGAGCCAGCCAGGCGCCCCTGAATCCTCTTTTATAATGTAAACATAACACACATATCAAGATAAAAACATGGACTTTGTACTATTTACTGTGATTGGGATCGGGGAAGTTTTTTAAAAATATTTTGCACATAGCACTTTCTCTTTTTTTATTTTTTGCAAATGGATGGAAGGCGAGAATTAATTTTGTAATAATAATACATTAAAAACAAAACCATAAAACTCCTAGAAGAAAAGATCAGGAGTAAGTTCCTTGGTAATGATTTTCCTTGGGGCAGGGAGAGTCTGACACCAAAAGCAAAAGCAACTGAAGCAAAAATAAACAAGTGGGACTACATCAAACGAAATGAACACAGCAATCTACCGAATGGGAGAAAATATTTGCAAATTATGTATCTGATAAAAGGTTAATTTGCAAAATATGTAAAGAACTCATGCAACTCAATAAAAAATATTTTGTGATTTAAAAATGGACAGAAAATCTGCATAGATATTTTTCCAAAGTAGACATACAAATGGCCAACAAATATATGAAAAGGTGCTCAATGTAACTAATCATCATGAAGATGCAAATCAAAATCCCAATGAGATATTACTTCATACCTGTTATAATGATTCTCAAAAAGACAAGAAGTAACAAGGGTTGGCGAGGATGTGGAGAAAAGGAACCCTCTTACACCGTTGGTGGGAGTGTAAATTGGTGCAGCCACTGTGAGAAACAGTATGGAGAGCCTCAAAAAATTAAAAATAGAACTTATCATATGACCTAGCAATTCCCCTCCTGGGTACTCATCTGAAGAAAATGAAAACACTAATTCAAAAAATGATCTCCACCCCCATGTTCTTGCAGCATTATTTACAATACACAAGGCATGGAAGCAACCTAAGTGTCCACCAAAAAATAAAGGGATAAAGAAAATGTGATTATACATAAATATAATGAAATACTATTAAGTCATTTGAAAAATTATATGTATATTGAAATACTATTCAGTCATCAAAAAGAAGGAAATCTTGCCATTTGTTACAACGTGTATGGAACTTGAGGGTCTAATACTAAGTGAAATAAGTCAGGCAGAGAAAGACAAATACTGTAGGATCTCACTTATATGCAGAATCTAAAAAAAAAATAAACAAACGAACTCATAGATACAGAGAATAGATTAGTTCTGGTTGCCAGAGGCAGGTGGCTGTGGGAAAATGGGTGAATGTGGCAATAAACAAACAAACAAAACAATTTTGGGGAGGTGTCATCCATTAAACCCCTCACATATGAACATATAAGGATGAATGAGGATGAATTAGTGATGTTCTTCCTAGTCCAGAATTGGGTAAAACCAATTAGGCACTTTTGGGGAGGGGTCTGGGGAAATGCGAGAGGAGTAGTGGGAATTCCAGGAGATGCACTTTCTATTCTTTACAGCTAAGAAAGTGGTGGGTAGGGAAAGTGGATGGAGGGTAATGTTTTTGGAGAACTTGTTAGCAGGAATCCCTGTTGGGCTCCGACTGGACATGCAATCCAACAAGGCAACTACCCTTTGTATGGAGGCTGTTTTTTAAAATTGTCTTTCATGAGATGCGTGGGTGGCTCAGTCGGTTAAGCTTCTGCCTTCGGTTCAGGTCATGATCCCAGGGTGCTGGGATTGAGTCCCACACCAGGCTCACTGATGCTCCACCTGCTTGTGCTCTCTCTCTCTCTCTCTCGGACAAATAGATAAAATCTTTAAAAAAAAAAAGTCCTTAGTTCACTCAAATCATCTCTTTAAAAACATTCACAAAGACCTTTTGAAGTTATTATTATTCATCTTACAGATGGGGAAACTGGCTAAGGAAGTTTAAGGTCACCCAACTAGCGAGGCAAGTGGGGGCACACCCTGACCCCCTGGCTCTGGAGGGCGTTAACTACCCAGACAAGGCAAAGTGGAGGGCAGGATGAGAGGCATGCCTGGCAGGCAGATCCACTAGGAAGCGAGAGCCCTGTGGTGTTTAGCCTGGCCAGTTGATTTGGGGAAAGGGAAACAGTCTGCGGAAGGTGGAGTGGGGACGGGGAAGAGAACTCGGTGTCGGCGGGAGCCTCTATCTATGCTACGAGCCCTCTCTCGCGGAGTCTCTCCTTCCTGTTCCTCCTGGGCGCTGGAAACGCGGTGGAGCCTGGCCCCGCGCGGCCGCCGTAGAGTCCCCGTTGCCATGGTTCCCAGGGTCCGGTGCGGACGCACAGAGGCGTGACCGGGAAGCGCGAAGGAAGACCTCAGGGTCCGGGTCTTGCTTCCCCCGCCCGCGAGCCGAAGAGGTGCCATGGGCCGGAGTAAGCGTCCCCTCCCACCTGCCACCCTCGATTGTCCCCCTTCCCGGCGTCGTCCCGGGTCCCAGGGGACACAGACCACCACCGCCCCTTCCCGGCCCGCGCACCCCGGCCCACTTGGGCCCTCCGCCCTCCGCAGGCCCGGCTATGCCAGCCTCTCTGCCGACCAACCCGGCGGGCAGCTTAGCTTCTGCGAGCCTCAGGTTCCTCATCTATAAAATGGGGTAGGCGAGAAAGGCACGCGACTTCACGGTAGGGGGTGGTGGAAGGCGCAGGGCTTGGCGTCAGACGTGCCGGGTTCGGGCCCGCGTGTAGCCCTGCTCGCCCTGTGGTCCTGGGCTAGTCACTGTCAGAGCTGCAGCCCTAGCACTCGGGGAAGGCAGTGTACGTGGTGGTGGAGGGAGCCCGCTCTGGAGCCCGCCTCCTCCCCTTACCAGCCTGGAGACTTAGAGCCAGTGGCTTCACCCATCTGGGCCTAAACCTCATCTCCAAAAGGAAGGCAATGACAGTATTGTTTTACAGACCCGGCTAAGTGTTGTCAAAGTGTTTGTTTACAAATACACCCACAGAAGATGCAAAGTGATGGGATTAACATTTATATTGGATTGAACCCTTTACCTACCAACACAATTTCCAATCTTACTCTCATTTGTGACAATTTTGTACAGTTCAGCCTAATTGCTCACTTACCGTAAAAGTGTCATAATTAATATTTTTAAATCAAGAGACTGTGCTGGATGATGGGGTTTCTGCCCTGGAAGAGCTGATGGGTTGGTGGAAGGGGCAGGTGATTTGTAAATAGAAAAAGCCCCATTCCTAAACCACTTACTGGTATTCCCTCTCTAAAGCAATAGACAAAAAAATTAGACCAACAGCAGTAAAAATTAAAGGAAAACTTTGTTTCCCACTCATGTAATCCTTAGATATTACAAAAGAAAAATGAAAACCTTTGTCCACACAGACTTTGTGTATGAACATTTATAGCACATGCTTTCATAGTAGCTAAAAAAGGGAAACCATCCACATACCCGTCAACATTTGTTAATGGATTAACCAATTGTGAGCTGGACATGGCATGATTCCATTTATTACCTGGCCCCCAACATGACCCCACTCTGGTAAGAATACTTGGCAATGCTTTGTGTTTCCAGATTAATGACAACTCAAATCCTGTGTCCAGCAGGCGACAACGTGATTTGGTATCCCCCCTTCCCCAGTGTATTGTTATTCAAGTAAATGGCCAGCAGTCCTTTTGGAAAGGATTGGATCAATCATTGCCATGTACTCTTGGGGACCCAGCCTCTCTTTTAGTCAGTGGGTTGTCGGATAAAAATACAGGACACCCATTATTTTTATTTGCTAAATCTGAAAACCCTAGTTTCAGGTCCAAAAACTGACTGAGGTCTGGAAACTAGGCAAGAGATTGTGAATTTTTATTGAGCCAATTGTCCTTAGCCTTCCGGTCATCAATCCTTGTTGTATTTTGATTGCACAGATTGCATAGTACCTTTGTTGGCTGCTTGTCTATATTGTTCTTAGGAATGTCATGTTCTGTTCTCCATCTTCATAGCCCTCCATGGATGTGGACCACTGGCCACCACTCCAACCTTGTCCCTCATTATGGCATCTGTCCACCTAACTTCTAAAGTTAAATGTCCCTACTTGGCCTTCATTGTTTCAAGAGTCTGTCATCCCAGTTTCTATCAATTAGCCCACGTCTAGAACAACATCTCCCCTGGTTAGCCTTGGCCTTGTATTTGTCTAGTTTGGGACTCAGGTTAAAGCTGGCCTTGTAGAATTATCTCAGGAAGTATTCTTTTTTTTTTTTTTTAAAGATTTTATTTATTTATTTGACAGAGAGACAGCGAGAGAGGGAACACAAGCAGGGGGAGTGGGAGAGGGAGAAGCAGGCTTCCCGCGGAGCAGGGAGCCCGATGCGGGGCTCGATCCCAGGACCCTGGGGTCATGACCTGAGCTGAAGGCAGACGCTTAACGACTGAGCCACCCAGGCGCCCCCTCAGGAAGTATTCTTAAATTCTCTTAAATTTTATAGAAACGTTTGTGTACAGTGGGTATTATTTTTCCTTAAATGTTTGGTAGAATTCATCAGTGAAGACATCTGTGCTATGGTTTCTTTGTGGGAAGGTTTGCGTTACATATTCAATTACTGTAGTAGATACAGGGTTGTTTGGTTTATCTGTGTCTTCCCACGTGAGCATTGGTAGTTTGTGACTTTTAGGGAATCTTCCCATTTAATCTAAGTTCCTGAACTTATTAGCATGAAGTTCTTACTAGCCTTTTAATACTATATAATCTATATGATGTCGTGCTTTCATTCCCAATAATGGCAATTTATGTCTTTTCTTTTTTCACTGATCGGTTCGGCTAGAAGTTGACCAATTTTATTTTTTAAAGCATTTTTATCGACTTTTCTCAATTGTTTCTGTTTCTATTTCATTGAGTTTGGATATAATCTTTGTTATTTACCTTCTTCTGCTTACTTTGGGTTTAATTTATTCTTTTTTCTAGTTTCTTAAGGAAGAAGCTGATGTTTGAGACCTTTTTCTTTTCTTTAGGTATTTAGTGCTCTAAAATTTCCTCCAACTTATGTTTTAGCCATATCCCACACATTTTGATATGGCTTTGCATTTTTTGTTCTGTTCAAAATACTTTCTTCTTTCCCTTTGGATTTCCTAATGTCCAGTTTTGTTTTTTTTTTTCATATATTCTGGATTTTAGTTGTTTTAGGCTGAAGGTTCAATCTTGTCCCTATGACTCCATCATGTCTGGAACCTGAAGTCCCTGCTCCTCTTGTGATTAAGTCCTGATCCTGGTTCTCTGCCCTCTCTACCCTCTGATTTCAGGAAGCAAACCTCTTTAGATGCTGCCAGTGTGGTACTCTGGCTTTTTTTAATGTCCAACTAATCACACCCAGGCTTTCCTTATCCAGCAGCAGCCACCCAATGCAACTGTCCTTTGAGTTTTTAAGTTACGATTTCCCCCATATTTCTCTACTGCCTGATGTGTCATGTCACACTTACTAGTGCATTCCCTTCCATTAGTATCTTATTTGCTATAGGTTGAATGTTTGTGTTCCCCAAAATTCATATGCTAAAATCTCTTTCTTTCTCTTTTCTTTTTTCTTTTCCTCTTTCTCTTCCTCCCTCTTTCTTTCTTTCTTTTTCTTTCTTTCTTTCTTTTTCTTTCTTTCTTCTTTCTTTCTTTCTTTCTTTCTTTCTTTCTTTCTTTCTTTCTTTCTTTCTTTCCTTCTTTCCTTCCTTCCTTCCTTCAGAGAGGGTGGGGAGGAGGGGCAGAGGAAGAGGGAGAGAGAGAATCTTAAGCAGGCACCACGCCCAGCACGGAGCCCAACATGGGGCTCCATCTCACAACCCTGAGATCATGACCTGAGCTGAAACCAAGAGTTGGTACTTAACTGACTGAGCCACCCAGGCGCCCCTCATATGTTGAAATCTTAACCCTCAAAGTGATGTATTAGGAGGTGGGCTTTGGGAAGTGATTAGGTCATGAAGGGGGAGCCCTCATGATTGGGATTATTGCCCTTCTGAAAGAGGCCCCAGAGACCTAGCTTGCTCCTTCTACCATGTGAGATTCCCATCAGTGGGGGAGCAGGCTCTCCCCAGACACCAAATCTGCCCATGCCATGATCTTGGACTTCCAGCCTCCAGAACTGTGAGAAAAAAAATGTTTCTTGTTTGTAACCCACCTACTTTATGGTATTTATGTTATGGTATTCCAGATGGGTTGACACTGTTCTCTTTGCAATGCAAGTGCAAGTGTTAAGCATCCCACAGCCACCTTGTGCCAGACACTATCTGTGCTCCACCTCCCAGCAGTGGTGGTGTCCCCATTGCACCTCAGGCAGCAGACTCCAACTCTGGAAGCCCATCTTGGTTAGCATCTGCCTTCACGTACCACTTCTGGTATCCACTCTTCCAGGTTGGGTTCCCCACGAAGCAGACTTTTCGATGGAGATTAGCGTGCAGGAGGTTCATTAGGGAGTGTTAGTGGAGTGGGTAGGGAAGGCAGCAAGACTGGACAGGGAAGGATGTTGGGCTGTGATGGGTTTTAACAAAGGACGTAGCTAACCAACCTGGAAACTTGGAAGGACCTCTAAACTGGGAATGGACCTTTTGATTTTCCCAAGCTGAGGTGAGAGGGCTGGGCCATTAGGGCCCCCAACAGCCAGTCATTGGATATGGGCTTTCCTGGGAAGGGGCACAATGTCAGTTGAGGTGTCTCTTCAGCCGAGTGACTTATGAAGAAGGTGGGCATCTGTGCACGGTCTGCTGGCACAACTCCCAGCAGCTAGAAGAACTGATCATTCAGTTTTGAAGGAGGGAACTGGGCAACACAGCATCTACCATAGGCCGGAGCACCCCTTCCTCCTCTGTTTATTGGGCAAATACCTACTCACATTTCAAAACTCAGCTCAGGCTTCTTCTCCACGATGCCTCTTTTGACCTCTGTCCTGTCACTCGGTAACACTGGTCACTCCCCACTCCTTGTTCTCTCTGTGTTCTGTCACTGCCCCAGAACCCTTCACTCATGTTCTTTAAGAGCACTCTCTACGTGAGTCATTGGATTGGGTCTGGTATGGCTAGCAGTGCTTGTTATCATGACCCCAAGCCAGTCACAAAAGGCAGGGCAAATGAGTAATTCTGTTTTTAAAAGTGTCCATTGAAAACAATTAAAAGTGTAAATGCCTCAAGAGGTGACTTTCTCCTATTTGTCACCCCTTCATCTCTGTTACATTTCTGTTTCATAGATGTATCTGCTAGGTGTTTCAAGATGTTTACAAATTCTGCTGAAATCTGCCCTAAACATATACTTTGGATTTTATTCTAATCCAGTGAGATATAGAGGGCTATTTACAAAACATAGTATAAAGCCCGAATGAATGAACACTTCATTATTGGCCTTGGGAGTTTCTAGAACTTTGCTCAATACACTGAAAAGCTTCGTAGAAACAAACACGGCCTGACAACTGCCAGTATTCCAGAAACCTTCTCCTTCTGCCCTTCGCCTCACCCCTACCCCAAAGAGTCATTTTATTGACATTCCCTCAAGTTATTGAAAACCCAGTCATCCCACGGCATTGAAAAGAAGCGTAGGCTGGCCGGTGAGTTTTGGTTAAAACTTTGGATTCCTCGGCAGCTTTCCATTAGTGAGATAAGTCTGAATCTGTGTTTTAACTGTCCGTGTTCTTCTCAGCCCCTACTGCTCCACTCATGCAGGTCTTGCCTAGCACCCTCTGTGGGTGAGACACTTAGAGCCCACTGGGTCCCGGATTTTGCTATTTCAATTTTTCCAAAATAAGGAAGCGAAAGCACTGTGTTTCATAGAGTACCTGGGCATGTTCTTCTACCACTGGGTGGTAGGCGTGGTAGTACTCTCTCTCTTGAGACAGGGTTAGGGTAGACATCCTAACGCTTCCAAAGCAGCTTTAAATCCCTGGAATGATTTCTTGTCATTGCAGTGCTGTATTATTTGGAGTAGGACTTTCTAAAGGTGAACAATGCTCCTGGGAGTAAACGAGGGTTTGGTCTAAATGACATAGAGTGTAAAACTACAAAATGCTTTCCTGTTGAAAAGCGTTGGAACACTGTTATCCCCATCCACGTACATACACTTTCACGTTTCTTCTTGGGGACTCTGGTTTCTTCGCTGATGGTTGCCATTGCAGGTGGACCAGCATTGTATAACAGCAGTTTCCTGAGTGCTATAAAATGGGGGGCCATGCAGCAGTTTGCTTTCTATAGAAGACCTCGGGAAAGGGCCGCTGGGTGCCCCAGACTTTTGCAGTACTGCCTTCCTCTGTGATTCTCCATTTTTTCATCTATCCCAATTGCGTAAAATTGTTGCTGTTGGACAGGCTTCCCTATGGTGCTGAATCAACCTTAGACCCTCCTCTCCTGTGTGTGTGTGTGTGTGTGTGTGTGTGTGTGCACAAATTAGTTATTCATGCAAAGGGAGTTTCCTCTACCCCCATCCCTTTCAACTGATAGTGATTTTTATCATCTTAATTCTCGTGGTTAGGAGATTCAGATCAACGTAGTTCCTTCCTAATATCTACCTGCCTCTGAAAGGGAGGACTTGACAATTGCATGGAAGTGATCAAGTTCACACAGAAAATAGCATTGTGAAAAGAGTTTCTTAATTTTAAGAAAGGTGTAGCAAGAGAACATGGGAAGGATATTTGGTATCTGGAGAGGAACCCGCGGGTCTTTAGGGTTGGACAAATCGGAAAATCCTCTAAGACTGTAGAGCTGGAGTGGCCCATGATCCCTTTAGCGTTTCCACGGCCCAGGCCGGCACCGGTGGGTTGTGTAGATGCTGACGTAGCCATCCCAGGCCAGACACCATGGTGCTTTAACAAGACACGTTTAGAATTCCCCTGAACACATTGGACTGAACCATACTTATAGATGACAGCTATTGTGGGATCCAACTTGGGTTTATATCTTTAATACGAATGTTCCACTAAGCCTTCCAGGGTGACCCACGGAAAGAATATAATGGACGCTCATGTGTCAAGTTATAATCGAACTGCCAGATAAAATGCATTTTCCTCTCTCGACAAGAGTATCTTTATAACAACCCAGAAGGCTACATTTAATATGTTTCTCAAACTCCTTGGGTTCTATGCCAGAGCTGGGGAGGAAGGGGACGTCTGCGGAGAACGGCCCCCCGGCCCATCCCCCCCTTCTCTTCCCATCCCTGGCTCTGTCCTTGTCCCTCAGGCCCCTGTATGAAGATGGATACTCCAGCCTACATATCTATCCACATCTCCAGAAAAGAGCTGCTCCTTGGACACTCCAGGGGCTAGGGGTGTCTTCAGGAATGAACTGGAGAAGTGGCCAGTGTAGGGCTTAGAGGCAGGCTTGGGGCTCCTTGGGCAGAGAATTCTACTGTTCTGCCTGGGACATGCTCTGGAGGGAAGGGCATGGGCTCTGGATGGGCACATCCTCCTGGGCCCTTTGACTCTAGGTCTGATGGCGGCAAGGCCTCCAAAACCCAGCCCCCCGCTCCATGGATTGATATAGTTCAAGTTACATATACCCCACTGGTCACTGAGGGTCTTATTCATAGTAGTGAATAATTCCCACATTTCATTAGGGGAGCTGAAATAACGTTGGTTGTGCCATCCCAACCCCTCGATCCCTGTTGCATCCTTACAAAGAGAATTCTTGTAGCTAATTACAGAGACAGCTGATACATTTGACTTTACACAGCAGCTTCGCCGTGTCCTCAACTTGGCTGCACCCATATATTCATTATCAGCTGATTTTAGCTGTTAGAACCAACTTTGGTAGTGGGATGTGTGGAGAGTAGTTTTAATGCCCAAACCAGGTTTGGTTTTTGGAAAGTCCTTTTCTGCTTACATCGGCTTGCCTACTAGCTGTGGCCTCCAGAGACAGCAGAAAGCTGTCAGCGGCAGGGACCCCAGTGAGCTGGGGCTGGCAGGGCTGCCCTAATAGCCCCCTTCCCTGCTGCCTCTTTGGCCTGACCCTCCCCAGGACCTGTCATGCAGCCAGCTCTGCCTGGCCAGTTGAGCCAAAGCTTAGAACAGCAGGGAAATTCCCCAGGTACAGTATTTTAATCTCTGGACATTTACATTTCCCTTGTCTTTCTTCCAAACAACTGTCATGGCAAGCAACCCCACCTCCTTCTACCAGAAATAGCAGGGGTTCAGCTAACTGCACACAACTGATTGAGTTCGAACCTGTTTTCACATTTTTTTAAAAAGGCCAACTCCTGGAGGGTGTTATGCTGAGTGAAATAAGTCAATCAGAGAAAGACATGTATCCTATGACCTCACTGATACGAGGAATTCTTAATCTCAGGAAACAAACCGAGGGTTGCTGGAGTGGGGGTGGGCTGGCAGGGATGGGGTGGCTGGGTGATGGACATTGGGGAGGGTATGTGCTATGGTGAGCGCTGTGAATTGTGCAAGACTGTTGAATCACCACCTGTACCTCTGAAACAAATAATGCAATATATGTTAAGAAAAAAAAAAGAAGAAGAAGAAGATAGCAGGAAGGGAAGAATCAAGGGGGGGAAATCGGAGGGGGAGACGAACCATGAGAGACGATGGACTCTGAAAAACAAACTGAGGGTTCTAGAGGGGAGGGTTTGGGGGGATGGGTTAGCCTGGTGATGGGTATTAAAGAGGGCACTTTCTGCGTGGAGCACTGGGTGTTATGCACAAACAATGAATCATGAAACACTACATCAAAAACTAATGATGTAATGTGATTAACATAACAATTAAAAAATTTAAAGAAAAAAAAAAGGCCAACATCCCCTTTCAGGATGTGGTATGGAAGTAGGGCAGCCGAGGGGCCTGTGCAGAACTCTGTCTCAGCTAGAGGAGCCTGTACCATTGAGGAGGCCTGAGACGTCTTGCGAGGCTCTTCCTTGCTCCTGTTTGGGGCGGCGTAGCATAGTGGCTAACAGCCCACGGTCGACGCCAGACTCCTATACTCACAACCCGGCTCTGGCACTTACCACCTAGACCTTGGGCAAGTTATTTAAACTCTGTGCAGAGGAGGACCTCTGCCGAGTGTAAATACTCATATGTGAACACACGCAAAGCATTTCGGACAGTGCCTGGCACTTTGTAAGCGGCAATAAATAAATCTTTATTATCTCTCAGGCTGGACATGCAACGTTCCACTGCCCACCTAAAATGTGGACATTAAAATGGATTATTGATGTTTTTAATAGCACTGGAAAACACAAAGATTTGTCCATTGTCATCACGTCTTTACCTTGAGCGTGTCTCATGAAGGGGATTCCTGTCTTGCTCTTGGCTCCACGCTTGGACCAGGGCATTGTCTCCAGCCCCTTGGTGCCCCCGTAACAGGGCAGCCTCCCATGCTGCAGGGCACTCCTGTCAGCGGGCCAGGGACTCTCCTCACCCTCCTCCTGTGAGTGACTCCTTTTCTTCCTCCCAGAAACAGACCGCAGGATAGCTGCCTTGTAAGATTACAATGCAACATCTAGGGTACGCCTCTCTCTTCTCTTCAACTTTAGTAAAACTGATAAATGTCAGTGGAATGAATGGACCTTTCCTTACTGAAATGGTGGGAGGTGCTTTCCTGGTTTTACCCTCTGGCAGCCAGACCGTGCCTCTCAGTCTGAGTGCCCTGTCTTGGTCTATTTAGTGAGTCTCATCCAGTTCAATCCCATACCACCATGGGATTCCCTATCAACATTCTCACGGTCATTACCCTCCCACTCTGTCCCCATCCAGACAGCAAAATGTAGGTAGACCCTGTGCAAAAAAAGACAAAAAGCTCTCTGACTCATCACGGTGTCACCAGCAGGAGGCAGCACCTCTCCGTTCTCTTCCCTTTTGAAAATCGCTGGGGCCTGGAGGACTGACATCAAACTGGGAAGAAAAACCAATGCATTCGTAATGTAATAACCTGATGATGAGCACAGGGATGGAGATGTAATACGTAACAAATTTTCTTTCAGTCACAGAAGATCTTATTAGACGGAATGCCGAACACAATGACTGTGTAATTTTTTCCCTGGAGGAACTCTCCTTGCATCAGCAAGAAATAGAAAGGCTAGAACACATTGACAAATGGTGCCGGGATTTAAAAATCCTCTATCTTCAAAATAACCTCATTGGAAAAATTGGTAAGTCTTCAGGATTTTGTGCTCATGGTTTCTTTGACATTTTGAATGGGAGAACTTTGGGGAGGGCAGTGGGATTCTTAGAGGAAGACAACATGGGTGAAAAAGAGTCATACAGGGGAAACAGACATGGCCGGCTCCTGGGAACTGTGCGTGGACCCTCTCCCGGGGCTCCCACGGATGCCATCGAGGAATTCCAAGGGGCCCTTAACGGTGGGAGCATACTTGTTGACCTGCTCATTTATAGCCTGGTTTTGTCTGTTTGAAAGGAGAATAGAATCCAGGCGTTCGTCATAGTTTTGCATCACTCCATAGAACTGAAAGGGTTGTGTGCAAGTTGAGCAAACCCTCAGATTCCCTGGGGTGGCTGATTCTGCCCTGGTTATGGAGAACGTGGATGTGCAAGGCGTTATTCTCTGTATTGGCTATCAGAGGGGTTCCACAACTACACCCCTGCTCACTGCTCCAGTTTGGAATGGAACGAGAAGTTGACAGATCAAAACATCAGCATTATAACTGACAAAACCTTTTGGAGAAGGTGGCTTAGCCTTGTGGCCAAGCGGGCTTCCTAAAACTGCCCTCAAGTTCCATCCGTCCACCTGGTCTCATGCAGGCTGGGCAGTACGTGGGCCTTGCGTAGGGGACGAGAGTGCGTACTCTTTGCTGGCAGGGAGACCCCAGAAGCCAGGACGGTGGGGGGACTGGCCATGCCCAGTTCCTTCTCCCACTTCATCCATCAGCTAGGTGGGCCTGCCCCGCAATCCCCTGGGGAAGAAAGAGTTAAGTGGCAGAGAGAAGGGAGGCCTGTGGAGTCACTCTGAGGGGGTCCTGCCACCCAGAAACAAGAGCGCCCCCCACACTCAGAAGAGCAACCTGTAGTTTAGTGGCAAGAGGAGGCACAGGTCCTGATGGGCTTGGTCCCTCCCTCAGCCACTGAAAATTGTGTGAAATTAGGTCAGGTCACTTAGTCTTGCCGTGTATACGCCGGGGACTGCGTGAAACAGTCACTCAGATGCTAGCTGCTGTGGTTGCTGTTGAAGTTGTCATTTATCCAGGCTAGCCACGTGGAGGTAGGGGCGGAGGTGGGGGAAAAGAGATGCTTAGGGTCCACAAGGCAGAAGAAGTGCCAGCCTCTGTGGGCCGTGGCGCCAGAGCCAGAGGTCGGCTTTTAGGTTCTGTTTGAACTTGCCCTCGAGATGTGCCGTGGTTCTCAACAGGGGTGTTTGGCAAGCTCTGGAGACAGTTTTGGTTGTGACAAGTGCATGCAGGGCAGGGGAGCACTACTACCACGTATAGTGCACAGAGCCATCGCTAACCATCCTGCAGTGCACGGGACGGCCCCACAAGAAAGAACTCCGGGCCCACAACATTAGTATCCCTGAGGGTGAGAAACGCTGCTGAGGTGGTTGCCCCTGGTTTGGTGGATAATTGAAAATTGGTCCTCGGGTTGCAAAAAGCCTAGATTTTGCATTATTTTTCTGTTTTGAAGATTTATTACAATTCTTTATATTTCTTCAGATAATTATTTTCAACATCTTTCACTTTACCAGAAATTAGAAACTCTGGCACATTGTTCAATTAAAAAGGCTGTTACAGAAAACTACCAGCTTTTTTGCAGGGGGGGCATTAACGAGCCGTCCTAATTGTACAGATCTAAAAGAGTTCCCGAAATTTTAATCTCCACAGCTGGGTCCATCACAATTACTAATTAGTAGCATAGTATTTCAGGCCTTTTCAGAGCTGTGAGAAAGCTTAAATTTTTGCTTCCAAAAGTATTCTTAAATTAAACACTCTTTTAAATCCTAATAATGGGATTTTTCAGTGCTGCTCCACCCATAGGAATGTAGGCGCTTATTTAGCAAGCAAAAGTATTTCTCTAGGATTCGCACTTGCCCTGGTGCCATTGAGGTGGAAGTTTGCAGAACAGTTGCCTCTTCTAAAGCTCTGGTCCTCGTTGGGAGATACAGATGGGCTCGGGGTGAGGCTGTACTGAGCGTTGACCCAAGTGTGAGTTGAGGACCTTCCAGGGTCTTGTTAAAGTGGGGTTCTAGCCCCATCCCAGACTTCCTGACTGAACCGGTGGGGGTGGGCGCCCCAAATCTGCATTTGTAACAGCTTCGCAGTGAGCCCAAGGCCTAAAGGTAAGAGCGGAGCCGCTTGTGCGGGGGGATGGCTTTGGTCCACCGCAAGTCTGTGGGTCTGGTGGTAGCAACTGGTGAGAGCTGCTTCCGGGACGGTTTGGGCTAGAACCATGGTTTTGCGGACTCCCTTCCTGCTGTCCAAGAGGCGCTGCACATTTTTATCCGTAGAACCATTTGTTTTGTCCCTGACCAATTTGGCTCATTATGCTTGAGGGATAATTTAAGAAATCCATCCCAAACAATTTTTTTTTCCTACCAGAAGACTCTTTTCACATTTAGAGGGCTATACATATAACAAATGTGGGGAAGGAACAAGTCTTTTATTGTAGGCTGGCAATTTTAATGATAATAACATAAAAATATAGGTATTTTTGTTCAGGATACAGATTGCACACTCTGTTGGTCATAGTCCTGGGCACATAGAGCTCCACAAATCTATTGACTATTGAATGCTCAGGTGTTGCCTGGAGAACCTTCTAGAAACATCAGTATTACTTAAAATCATCTAATTGCTGAGAGAAATGTTAGTAATTTATTCTAAAATTCTCATTTTAAAAAATGAGTCAGCTGAGGCTCACAGAGGTGTTATTCTTGGGTCTACATGAACAAGTACATGGTATTTTCTAAATTTTAAATGAAATGTAACGATCGTAAGGGTGATGATGGCCATAAGCCATCATGTTTGATCTTCCTCATATCCATGGAAAATGGGCAGAAGGAGCATTATTTAAGTGAGGAGTCCCCTCCACGCGCATTCCCTGGCAGGGTTCCCCACGTTCATGTCCTCTTAGAAAGGACTGTTCTTTTAGTGTAACAATTTAGTGCCAAGATCTGGAGTCAAATTTCCTGGCTTCGCCATTTAATCTTGAACAAGTGGATTAAGTCTCTGCACATTGGTATTCTTATTTATAAAAGGGAGCCAACAGTAATTTTTACCTCTTAGGGTTATTACGAGGATGAAATGATATCATATATGGAAAATGCCTAGCAAAGTACATGGCAGATAATAAGTCCTTGACAATATTAGCTACGGTAATATTAGCATTTTTAAATGTTCCCATCCTACAGCAGTTCTCTGACTCATATATGCTTATTGTTTTTCCTCTCTGAACTTCCATATTTATTATAATCAATAATCCTGTGTGTAGCAGGGCGAGCTTGATTTCAAGTAAAGGAAAACCCAACTTAGTGTGGCTTATGCAACTTTAAGTCTAGAGACAGCGCAGGCTCCAGGGTTGGGTGATTCCTTCTTTCTGCTCCACCGGTCCCAGTGTGGGCTCCATCCTACAGCCAGTTTCGTCATGGCTGTGGGATGACTCGGGTGGCAATCAGGATATCACTTTCTTCCCTTTTCACATCCAGCAGGAGAAAGAAAAAGGCAGTCCCCCAGCATGGAATGTAGATCTTTGCCTCTCATCTGACTGGGAGCAGTTAATGTGCAAGTCCACTCTTCCATCACATAGCTGCTAGGAGATGGCCGTGGGCTAGTTGGCTGAAGCCTAGGTTCCTGAGCTGTCCTTAGCAAGGGACCTGTTATTGCTATGCACTGGCCCAGCTTGGTTAAGTCAAACTCCCTGGAGTTAGAGCTGGCTAGAGACAAGAGCAGAAGTGGGTTCTATGAGGAAGGATGGAGGAAGAAATGAGGCTGCATTTGGCAACCAAGGATGTCTAATGTCCAGGTATAGACATGAAAAAGCAACATGGTTTTGATTAAGCATACTAATGCTTAGATTCCTATTACAATTTTCACAGCAGATTATGTAAAAATAGCTTTTATCTTGAAGGTTAATTAATTACATTTTTGTATATTTCAGAAAATGTTAGCAAACTAAAGAGACTTGAATATTTGAATTTAGCTTTAAACAACATCGAAAAAATTGAAAATTTGGAAGGTAAGAATTTTCTTCTTATATTTTATTATGAATTAAAATTGAGACTTACAACTAAATTTAAACAGTATCACTTAACTAATAGGCACACTTTTCAAGTTAGCATTTTACCTAAGTCTTATGTTTATTAATTATTGTGATAAAAATTCAAACAATAACGAGGTACCTAAATTTGAAAATGGAAGTCCACATCATCCACTCCTAAAACAGCTTCCTTCCCAGGGTTAGAAGGTAGTTTTGTTTCATTTGCTTTCTATTAGTGGGATCATACATGAGTATTCTTTTGAAAATTGATTTCTTCTCTGAAATTACCTTGTTCTTTGCTATCCAGGAAATGTGGGGACTCTCTACCAGAATGGTGGTACACTGATTTATCTCCCAGTTTTTCTGCAGATGGACATTTGGGTTGCTTCCAGCATTTTGCTATAATAAGCATGGCCACAATGAGGGTTCTTTTACATTGCACTGTGTGTATGTGTACATTTTTTTATAGGACAAACACTTAGACATGGAATTCCCGGGTTTAAATATGCACCTTCTGAAAAATATTGCCAAATTGTTCACCAAAAAGGTTGTATCAATTTACTTTTGTACTGGTAGTCCATGTGAGTACACATTTTTACACAAGCTCACTAATGTTTTTTATAAGGAATCTTTTTTTAAAAATGGGAAGGCATTGTTATCAAATAATTTTTTAAATTTGCATCTCACTTACTATTATTGAAAGTCCATATAACCCTTCCAATTTTTATTGAGTATTTGTATTTCTTATTATGTGAATTACTACTTCATATTCTTTGGTCATTTTTCTATTGATTTATCTTTTTTTTTTTTTTTTTAAATGTGCTCTTATACATTCCAGATGTTAATCCTTTATGTATGGATGGATATTTTCTCTTGAGTCGACTACTTTTATTTTATTCCAGTTATGACATTAGTATTATTCAGAAGTCTTACATTTTAATATACTCAACTTTATCAATTTTTTTCTTTATAGTTTCTGAATGTAAATATATTCTATATTCTGGTTTTAATGATTGTATTTTTTACATTTAATTTCCCTAGTACATCTCAAATTTATCACAGAAAAAGGAACCAATGTATTTTTGGGATAAAGAAAATGTGATAGACACACACACATACTCAGGTACACAATGGAATATTACTTAGCCATAAAAAAGAATGGAATCTTGCCATTTATGACAACCTGGATGGACCCTGAGGACTTTATGCTAAGTGAAATAAGTCAGACAAAGACAAATACCATATGATCTCACTTATATGTGAAATATAAAAAGCAAAACAAAACACCAAGCTCAGAGATAAATAGAATAGAAGATTTGGTGGTTGCCAGTTGTGGGGGCTGGGGGTGCAGGCAAAATGGATGAAGGAAGTCAAAAGGTAAAATTAAAAAAAAGGCACACTAAAAAAAAGGTACAAAATTTAAAACTATAAAATAAGTCATGAGGATGTAAGGCACTGCATGGTGACTATAACTAGTAATGCTCTGTTGCATATTTGAAAATGCTAAGAGAGTGGAACTTAAAAATTCTCATCATAAAGAAAAAAATTCTGTAATTCTGTAAGGTGACGGATATTAACTAGACTTCTGATGGTGATCATTTCACAATCTATACAGACATCAAATCACTATGTTGTATATCTGAAACTAATATAATGCTGTATGTCAATTATACCTCAGTAAAAAATAAAATAAGGTAAATGTGGAAAATTGTATTTTTTTCTCAAAATGTCTCTTACTTGCAATATTTGAACCATTTATTTTGTAACTGATATATAATTCACACCATAAAATTCGCCATTTTAAAATATACAAGTCAGTGGTTTTTAGTATATTCACAAGGTTGTGTGCCTGCCCTTCACCACTATCCAGTTCCAGAACATTCCATCACCCCATACAAAACCCTGTATCCATTGGCATCCACTTCTCATTTACTCCTTGCCTTGGCCCCTAATTTACTCTTTGTGTCCATAGATTTTCCCATTCTGAGCATTTAATGAAAATGGAATTGCAGAATATGTGGTCCTTTGTGCCTGTAGCGTAATGTTTTCAGGGTTTATCCACGCTGGGGCACGTATTGGTACTTCCTTCCCTTTTGTGGCTGAGTAACATTCCATTATGTGGATGCACAACATTTTGTTTGCCCACTTGTTAGCTGATGAGCGTTTGGGTTGTTTCCACTTTTTGGCTCTGAATAAAATTACTGTGAACATTAATGTACAAGTTTTTGCATAAACATGTGTTTTCAATTAATTTAGTATACGCCTGGGAATGGAATTGCTGGATCATGCGGTAACTCTCTGTTTAACTTTTTAAGGAACTGCCATACTGTTTTCCAAAGTAGTTGTACCATTTTACATTCCCACCAACAGTTTCTGAGTGCTCCGACTTCTCCACATCCTCACCAACACTTGTTATTTTATATTTGTATTTATGTGTTTGTTTTTATAGGCGCCATCCTGATGGGTGTGAGGTGGTATCTCATCGTGGTTCTGATTTGTGTTTACCTAATGACTGATGAGCTTGGGCATTTTTTATGTGCTTATTGTTCATCTGTATACCTTATTTGGAGAAATGTTTATTTAGAACCTTTGCCCATTTTCTAATTAGGTTATTTGTCATTTTACTGTTGAGTTGTAAAGCCTATTTATATATTTTGGATACTAGAATCTGGTCAGATACATGATTTGTAGATACATTTTTTTCATTATGTGGATTTTCTTGTCAACTCTCTGATGGTGTTCTTAACAAAGCTAAAAAAATAGCTTTATTGAGGTATAATTGATATACAAAACCTGCACGTATTTAATGTAAACAGTTTGTTGAGTTTGGATATATGCATACACTGTGAAACCCATCACCACAGTCAAGGTAATAGACATACCCATCACCTCTGTTTTCTCTCATCTCCCTTAGAACTTCTCTAAAAGTACTAGATTGAGCTTCCGTTTCTCTTACACTGTATTCCTTTTACTTAAACCTCTTTGTCTTGTTATTCTACATTCTGGAAGGTTTCCTGTTTCACTTTGCAGGCTTCTATTTTGCGCTTTTATTTTATTTTTTTACATGCCTGGTAACACTTGGTGTCTGTTCATAATCACGACGGATTTGGCTGATTCGGTGGCTGGCGCAGGCTCATTCTGTGCTTGTGAGGTTCTGTTTCCACATCCGGCCTCTCACTGGGCTGGCAGGGCTACTGGGGGCTCTGTGTGAGTGAGCAGGGCATGGCGACTGGCAGACTTGACTCCGGAGTACAGGGGCACGGAGCAGAGGCGGGCGAGCTGCTTTCCCCACCCCGCTCCCATCTGCCAATAGCTAAAATAAGGAGGACTTTACTTAGGGTATGATGGATTTTAGCCTGTTTGCCTCCTAGTGTAGAAATGGGTATTTTGGTGACTCTCAAGGTTATAGAGCAACAAAGACAAAAGTATTCATCATACGTTCTGAATTTTCATCCTCAAAACCTAAAATACCATCACAATCAAAGGGCCAAAGCCATCCTCAGTGCTGGAACTGGGAAGATTCGTTCCATCATGGGCATTTTTCTGCATTAGAGGTGGAGCCATCCCTTTCCTCCAGCTGCCACACTCTACAGCCCCGTCGCGCAGTCTCCTGTTAACAAGTGGCATAACAAGAGTTACTCTGCATGCATGTTTTGTGATAGTAAAATGTCAACCTGTAATGTCAGAGAAGTAATTAAAACTCTCACTCTCAGTTGCCATGTCCAGGGCTTGTTTTTGTTAAGAAAGGATCTTGGAAGGACACGGGGAGTTGTTTTTCTGTATGTTTTGCTCATCTGCCACAAGAGGGCAGCATCGTCACTATTGTCTTTTTGAGCTTTGGGAACTGTAGTCCACAGCCCTCTGCTGACCTCTACCTGGGCACTTCTTGAGAGCGCCACCTTCCACCTCTAAGGGAGGCACTGGGTGCAGAGTAGTTTGAGGATATGTCTGGGGGGATGGGCAGTAGGGAGGGAGGATGCATCATATTGGCTGGTAAATATGTACTCTTTAATTTTAAAGGTTTGAGGTGAGAGGAGGAAGACGGATATACATCCCTCAGCCCACCTACTTGAGTTAATGTCAGTATAATTTTAAGCATAAGATGGACTTTTGCTTGTTTATTTTTATGTTTTGCTGGATGGCAAGAGCTAGCTAGCATACTTTCTCCCCCCTCTGTTTTGGATTCACTGGGATATAATAAATTGCCTTCTTTTTCCAGCCCTATTCCTGACTCACTCTAACCTGGACGAAGAGGTGGGGTTTCTAATAGTGTGAGGTTCCCCCCTTGGGAAATCAATGTTGTCAATTTTAATGACCTTCTCACCCCCATGAGCCATTGAGGTGGACCTTCGAAGAACAGATGGACAGTGGGACTCGGTTGAAGGTAGGAGTGCCTAACTCCAGAGAGAGGCTTTCTCAAGCCTGGCTAGTTCAGCAAGAATTGTTCATTAGGATGGCAGATGTGCTTTACTTTCTTTTGGGTAGGCCAAGTAGAACAATTAAGATTTATCATTTTGGAAAATATAATGAACGTTTGGAGGGTCTTTCATCAACAAAATTACAGCAAAATAAAAATTATATAAATTTTTGAACATGTTGGAGTCTTTCAAATGTCACCTTTTTCTTCCTTTTGTCCTTCCTTCCTTCCTTTTCTCAAAATATAGGGAGATGACCTAGGAGATATGCTGTATTTCATGCACAAGAGGATATGAACCTGAGCTGGCCTGTTGGTAATAGGATTACAGCGGACAAGAAGTAGTTGGGAAGAATGTAGGGGTTGAGATCTGTGGGGCTTGGTGATGGATGGAGTGAAAGGGCTAAGAGAGCATTTTAGGTTAACACTCCAGTTAGCTGTGACTTGACTCTTGGCATCTGACACCATAATGGTGATGACATTAATATGATTTAGACATCAAGGAGGCAGGAAAGCTGTCTTGAGGAGTGGAGAGTGAGAGAAAATATGAAGAGTTCATTTTTAGACACATTGAATGGGATGTCTTACAGACATTTGGAAGTAGGAGTATGGCATTCATTTGGATGGTCAGATATGAGGTTATTGTTTGGGGCTCATCAGAACTTGGGAACATGACTGTTGTCATCAAGAGAAACAGGAGACAGAATACTGGGTCAAGGATGGAAATCTGGGATGTATTACCATGGATGGAGTGGAAAAGTCTGTAAAAGGGACCAGGAGTAATAAGCTGCATTATAAAAGTGAAGAAGGAGAGAGTAGTATCATTGTTTCCGAGACAATTGAGACATTTCGGAGAGGATTCACGGTCAGTTAAGAAGGGCACTTGACATGATGAGCAACAGGTGATGTATGGAATTGTTGAATCACTATATTATACACCTGGAACTAATATAACACTGTTAACTAACTGAAATTAAAACAAGAACTTAAAAATAAATAAAGATAAAAAGCAAAATAAAGTTTTAGAAAAGTTTTTTAAAAAGAATTTATGGTCAATCATGCCATATGCGCCGACTGTTTAGTGACATAATGGGTTGAGAAGGTCTGTTAGATTTGTCAACATGAAGGTCTCTCTCATCACCTTTAGAGGAGCAAATCTAGTAGAATATTGAGGATGGAAGCCAAAACCAATGGGCTGAACAATGACTGGGGATGGAGAAAGAACCAGTACATATCGATTTAGGCTGGCTTATAATATAACAATGGGCATTGCCTACTTCTGATTCTGGCTGCTTCTTCAGATTCACTTCTTTGCACCAAGAATTTTTTTTTCCTAGAATGCATATCTTTTTTCTCCTTTCTCCATTATTAGACATAAGCTTGAGGTGAAAAGCCATGGATTTTTTTTAACCACTTTATCCTGAAGACCTGGCTCAGTAACTTGGTCATAGCAGGTACCCGTGAACTCCTGGATGAATGAATGAATGAATGAATGAACGCATGGAGGGATGACTTTAGGGTGAGGCCCTACATCTGGAAGCACTAAGGTAGAACTATCTTATTTGGAAGATTCTGGTTTGGGATATGATTATGTTGGAGGAAACCTTGGAATTCTGGACATGACGGAGTCAGATGCTAACATCAAGAAAGGGTAAGGAAGAGAGAACACTAGCATTTAATGAAGCTGGTTCCAACATATAGCCTTCAGCAATGAGAAGAACCTTGCCAAAGGTGACACGGTTGCAGAGCTATGAACCCAACTGAATCATACTGGTGAGGTTACTATATCAGGAACCAAAGCTTGCCCTAAGTTATATAGCCACAAAACAACAGAAAAGCAAGATATAATCAGGAAGCATAGGGGAGGGCTGGAGCAGGTAGATGTTTGAAGAAATGAGGGCACAACAAGGTAGGGCTGGGTTTTCAGCTGGAAATGGCTCTCTAGGTATTAATGGCCACAAAATCTGCCAGGTCGATCCAACAAGCATGAACCAGCCACAGCGGGGACAGCCTTCTACTGAACCTAGCCCACAGAGGCTGCTGTATGAACCAGGTCAACTCTTCCTAAGTCCACAGCAAGGAACTGCAAACTCTCTGCTCACGGGAGAGCAAGCATCCTTCTTCCCCCATAAGCACATTGTTCAACATAACCCTAAGAGTGCTTATTGGGTTATTTCTCATCCTAGCTAGTGTTTACTGAAGCTCTCTAGGTGGCAGGTACTGTGCTAAGTACCTGACATGAATCATCTTATATTGTCCTCACAGCAACCACTGATTGGGTACCAATGCTGTTATAATACCACAGAGGCAAAGGCGGAGGCTCATTAACTTATCCAACATCACACAGCAAGGATGTGACCAAGACAGAACTTGAACTCCTATCTGCCTAACTCTAAAGTCTGTATTCCTAACTAGCAAGCTCCCATGGGACGTGAGTGAAGGGAGTTGACTGAAATTTCTGTAGCATCCAGCCATCTCTATAAACCATCTTTGCATCCGTGACTCACCCTTTTTCTATTACTCCTCTGAGGACCAAACTCTTACTCTTAATATTTGCTGGTACCTCCAGTGCAGTCCTTAGCGGTCTTGGAGTCATTCTGTCTCTTCGGTGTGACTTTGTAAATATTAACTCCGATGCCTGGGTTTTACGAACTGCCTTTCCTTTTGGGGACCTCTCCCGCCATCACCCTTCATGGCGAGATGTGTCCTACCTACCTGACAAAATTCTCAGAACAGATTGCAGGTGTCCTCTCTAGAGGAGCTTTGTTTTGATGTCGTGTCCACCCTAGCAGCACATAGTGACCAAATCCGTATGATACCCAGCCCAGGGCTTGCAGATATGGACAGGGAAAGTGATTTTTCCCTGGCTGGAGGGGCGAAGGGGAAATGCTCATAGAGAAGCGAGTCAGGGCTAAACCTTTGAGTTGGTATTTCTGAAAATCCAGTTCTTGGTAAGCCAGGCAATTAATCAGCATACTTAAAAATACTGCAGTTGTTGTTCCTGCTATGAGCTGTTGCACACATTTCATTACCAGTGTGATTTTTTTTTTTTTTTTGCTTTCTTTTCTTTTTACTTCTTTCAATAGGATGTGAAGGGCTGACAAAACTCGACCTGACCGTAAATTTCATCGGAGAGCTGAGCAGCATTAAAACCCTTCAGCACAATATCCACCTGAAGGAGCTGTTTCTCATGGGTAACCCATGTGCTGACTTTGATGGTTACAGGCAGTTCGTGGTGGCAACTCTTCAACAACTAAAGGTATGCTTATTTTAATGATGCAGAAATCTTGGAGAAATGAAAACAAGCAACTGCAATAATGCCTGTTTATTCACAGCATTGTCAGGGAATGTGTGGAATATTCCAGAAAATCAGAACTAATCCTTCGATTTACTGAAACTTTAAAGTTGTTTTAATAGCTTTAATAAACTTTTGAAAAATAAATTAAATACCTTTCTCCTTTCTCATTTAGAACACAACAGAGCTTAGCTGAACTATTTCTTGATGAACACGAATCATAGTCATGGAGGGCATTCATCATTACTAATGGCAAACCAAACTTAAGAGTTTTTGAGATGATGACAGCTAGATACCTTTGTGTTACGTTGTCTTTAAACTACTGTGCTTTTATAAATTCTTTTCATTGCTTTCTCTTAACCCATTCTCTGTGTTAGTGGTTCTCAGACTTTGCTATGCTTTGGAATTCTTGGGTGGTGTTTGCTGGGCGACACCCCAGAGTTTCGGATTCATAGGTCTGATGTTGGGACCCAGGATTATCCATTTCTAATAAACTCTGAGATAGCACTGATGCTCCTGGTCCAGGGACCTCATTTGAGAGCCTTTGCTCTATGTGTTAACCTGTTATGCTTTATCTCCCTTCAATGTTTTTGAAACCTGGGGAAAAACAGATGGTTTCTAGAGAAATCATATACCCGATTATGTTCAACTAGTAATGTTAATTTTCATGTAATTCCCAGAGTTTCAGACCTGCGTGCAGCCCCATGCTTCTGCAAAAAAATGCAGGGATGCATTGGCTTCGTGATAGGCATTTTCTTTTATTCTCAGAGGACATTTGTTTTTAGACTGTGCTCTGCACAGTCGAGATTGCTGGATTTATGGAACACATTTCTTCTAATGTAATTATTTTTTTTTGATTAAGAGAATGAGTGACTCAGGTAATTGAATCTGGAATACATATTTAGAATAAAATGATAAATTAGCTCAAGCATAACCCAAGCGGATCATCATTATACAATGACGTACTGAAACATTGAACTGATAAGGACCAGCATATCACAGAAATGGATCCTGTAGCACACCACTATGAGCCACTTCCCTGGAAGGGTGCTGGATCCCCTGTTGTTGCTGTGCATTCAGGCTGGAAGCTGTGACGGCTGTCGGCCAGGTGCCGGAAACCTGCAGCCCGTATGAGTCCTTATATCCAAAACGTACTGTAAATTATTTTTCCAAATATCCACATTATAATTTTGATTTATAATTTTACTGATCTTGATAATTTTTTAAATTTATATTTTACCCAACCTTTGTGTGGTTTTCCTTTTGTGGCTGTTTCCTATTGTTTTGGTAACGAATTGCCACAGACATAGTGACTTAAAGCAACACAAACTTGTGCTCTTACCGTTCTGGAGTGAGAAGTCTAAAATTAAGGTGTTGGCAGGGCTGTGTTCCTTCTGCTGCCCTCAGGGGAGAATTCGTTTCCCATTTTGAGCTTCTAAAAGCACCTGCTTTTTTGAGCTTATAGCCGCTACCTTTGTCTACAAAGCCAACAGTAGCATCTTCTAATATCTCCCTGACTCTGACCCTGATACTTCTGCCTTCTTCTTTCCCTTATAAGGACGCTTGTGATTACACTGGGCCCATCCAGATAATTATTTTAATATTTCAGCTTGGAAAATCACTATAAAAACACCAGATATAAACAGTGACTGTAACAGTTAACAGCGTAGTGTGTGCATCTTTTTGTTGAAGGTAGAACATGTGCCCATTTGTACTAGAGCCCAACTTTGTGTAACATACAAGGCCCGTTTTTGTAAAGAGCATTTGCAAAGTGTCATCGTTACACTTTGGAGCTGTGGTTTGACTTGAGGCTTTGACGTTCTTCATATAGTGAACAGTTATAAAATCAATATATTTTGAGAGCTTGTCATTAATAATTAGTTTCAACAGAAGACCTACTTATTTTTTTTACCGGTAAAGATACTTTGTAACTCTGTTAATTGTATTAAATAAATGATTTTGATCAAAGTTCCTGATGTTTCCCATTAATTACTTTGCTTTTAATTCCGCATCACTATGGTGCATTACTAACTGTTTCTAAATTCACAATATTCCAATCAAAGTCAACTTGGGGCTCATTCAAATTGTGACTTTTGAATAATTGCGCCATGTTGGTTGTTTTTTATTCAAGTGGTTGGATGGTAAGGAAATAGAGCGATCAGAAAGGATTCAGGCATTGCAGAATTTTCCAGTAATTGAACAACAAATCGGAGAGCAAGAGAGAGCTTACTGCCTCAGACGAGCCAAAGACAAGGAAGAGGCTCAGAGGAACCTGCGAGAAGAGGAGGGAAATGAAGCCAAGGGGAGAAGTTACCCAGGCTTTGAAGGACGGAGGTACGCAGACATCAGGGGCTACTCTACGCACAACCAAATTACAAGAGCTTACTTTCTACTCAACTTTGGTTAAAAGCAGCAAACTATTTTCACTTCCCAAAGTGTTCGCAGTATCATATTTCAGATGGTTGATTTGAAGAATAAATTGTGATGTGAATTTTGGAGGAAAGAGTAGGAATGTCTCATTGTTTGGGTCAATTCTCTGAGGCTTTCCTCCCTTAGGAAAAAAATGCCTTTCCAAGCTAGCAAGTTTAATTTGCATCTAAAATTATGCTCAGACAAATCTCTATAAGATGCACAGGAAAGATGAATTGACATGTGTACTTTGATTTAAAATAGTGGAGATATTTTAGAAAAGTTAAATGTAAATCACATTATTATAAGCCAAATAATTTTGATTACATCATAACATATTCTGTTTTGTGAATTATATAATGAATACATTTTAATGTGATTAATAAGCCTCTAAATTGGTCTTTTATACAAGCATGAATTTTTCAAGCTTGTTTAAGTGAATTGCAGCTATAGTCAGTTGATTTGATTCCATACAGTGAAAGCTTTAAATATTTTGAAACGAGAATCTCTTAATCTTAGAAAATAATAATTATAAAATATTTGAGACATACATAAATGTTTTAAAAATCAATAGACACTATAGTTCTACCCAGATTTAATAAGTATCAATAATTTGCATGTTTGCTTTGGATCTTTTTAAAAATAAGAAATAAAATATCCCTGAGAGTCTGTCCCATTCTCCTTTCATCTTCAGTGGGTCCGCCATCCTAAGAGTTAAGTGCATATTTGGTATATGTGATCCCATCCATATATACATTTGAAATATACTTATGATGAAATTATGCCTCCTTGAACAAGAGTGGCTGTGTGTATTTTTTTTTCTCACAAACGATATCTTTCTACAACTTTGCTTTCCATTCAACGTTATGTTTTTGAGATTTTTACATATAAAGACAGGTAGAGCTAGTTCATTCATTCTAACTGGGGAATAACATTCCATTGGATGACTAAATCACAATTTATCCCAGAGGTGATGTTCAAAATATCTAACAGCTGGTGACTACTCATTGGCCCTGACGGATCAGGATGCACACCAGCTCTCATAGCCTGCATGGCCCTCCTGGTGGTTGCCAGCTGGAGATCAGCCCTGGCGCAGCCATCCCTCATTGGATGGTCATTTAGATTGTTTCCCTGCTTTCCTTTTCTTTGGACAATGTTGCACATGCCTCCTCATGCAGGTATGAAAGTTTCTCTAGAGTGTTCAGCAGAGACATTGCCACATCATTAATTAGGAACGTTTTTTCCACTTTATATTCATTGCCCAATTTTTTGAACAGCATTAATTTATACTCCTATATCAACAGTATAGAAGAGTTCCTAATCCTTGCCAACACTAGATAGTATGATATTTTAAAACATGGGCCAATCATGTTGGTTGTTAAATACCACCTAATATTTTATTTAATTTGCATTCCTAGAATTACTAGTGAGTATCCGTAACTTCGATGTCTGCTTCTATTTTTATTGGCTATTCATATTTCTTCTCTTCAGGTCCTCTGCCTATTTTAAGTCAGTTATAAGTTTTTTTTTCTTATTGATTTATAGTTCTTTTGTATTCTAGGTGCAAATTCTTTAGCAGTTGTGTGCCTTGCAAATATCTTCTTCCAGCCTTCAACTTACCTTTAATTGTTATAAGTGCTTCTGCTTTATAGAATTCAAAAATATAGTAATGTAGTTAAGTTTATTTTTGTATTTTCTTTTGGTCGCATTTATGGCATTTTTCATTATTCCAGCGTCGTATCTGTCTATAGGGAATTAACCTTTGACTACAGTGTGGGGTAGGTTACCAGTCATTTCCCGGTTGGGTAGCCAATTGTCCGCACCATTAGTAAGATGCTATTATTCTGATCTGTGACACCACCCTTACCACATACTCTCTCCGTGTGTACTCATGGGTCCATTTCTGGGCTCCCTAGACTGCTTCACGGATGCACCTTCACATGGTTTTAATATCTGTAGATTTATGGTAAATCTTGATATTTGGTAGGAGGTATTTCCATTTTTCAAATTGATCTCAGCTGTTCTTAGCTCTTTTCTGTAAGAAGTTTAGAATCTGCTATTCAAATTCCCTAAAAATCCCTCGTGTAATTTTGATTGAAATTGCATTTAATTTATATGTTAATTAGGGGAAAGTTGACATCTTCGTGACTTTGATTTTTTCCCTGCTGAACTTTGGAATAGCTTTCTCTATTTATTTAGACCTTCTTCTGAGTCCTTCAATAAGGTTTTGTAATTTTCTCCATAGAGGTTTTACACCATCTTTTATTAGATTATTTCTAAGTATCTTGTAGAATGGGATTTTTAAAATACTCTTATAATTGGTTCTTGCTGTTGTATAAAGAGACAAATGATTTCTGTATACTGATATAGTATTAGGCAATCTTGCTGACCTTTTTAAAAAGATGTGGTATTAGTCTGTAGATGATCCTGTGTTTTCTATATAGAAGAACACATTTTTTTTTTTATAAACAGCAACTTTAAAATAGTTTCCAATCCTTATGCCTCTGTTTTTTTATTTTCCCTATGGTGCCTGCTAAGGCCTCCAGTATAGGGTGGGATAGCCGCGGTAAGAGTGAGAATCTGCCTGTACTAAGAGTGTCTCCAGTCTACGGTGTTTGCTGTGGGGTTTTAGGTAGAGCCAAGTAAGTGTCCTTTGATTCCAAATTGATGAGAGCTTTTATCATCACAGACACTGGATCTTAGGAAATGCTTTTTTTGCATCTATTGAGATGGCCATGTGTGTCTATTAATGTGCTAAGTCACATGAATGGATTTTCCAATATTAAGCCATCCTTGAATTTCCAGAATAGATTCACTTTGTCCATGGCATATTTTTAATAGATTTCTGCATTCATTTTGCTAATATTTTATTTATAATTTTTAAACCTGTGTTCGTAAGTGAGTTTATGCTGTAATATTCTTTTTTCATTGTATTTTCACCAGTGTTCTGCATCAAAGTTATAATAGGCACATAAGTTGTGTTGGGGATAATTTCTTCTTCTTGGCTTATACACGTTTACAAATGTTTAAAATTATCTGTTGCTTGCGTTGAGTAGAAGCATACCGTTGGGTTTTTTGCAGGTGCTTACTTGCTTCCCACAGGACTGACTGGCTGGTCCTTCAGCCATTGCTCCTATGACTACATTTCACCTATCTGAACAGAAACCCAGACATTCTGGAGGAAGGTCATCGAGATAGTGAATCATTGACTTAGAGAGGAGTAGGGCGCTACTCCCCTTTCAAGACTGCAAGAAGAAATACCATAAAGATGCCAGGGCTGCAAGAAGGGGAGACTAGCATCTCATCCCTTGACTAGATCTGAAGCCTGCTTCCAGTCTTGAGAATTGAAGAGATGAGATGTGTCCTGGAATAGCCTAGAGCAGAAGGGTCAAGAAAATGGGCATTAATGGAATCGGCTTATACTTCAAGCATCTGTCATGGCAAGGGTTTGTGAATATCCCATGGGCCAAGTACATATGGTAGAAGGAACTGCACTTGAGCTGTCTTTGAAGGGCTACTGCCCAAGAGAGTGGTGGCAATAAGAGACCATGGGGTGGATTGTCAGTGGCAGAAGTTGAGGAGTTGTCACACACAACCAGCTGGGTAGTATGTTGATCAGTCTGACAGAGAACAATGGACTTGGAAGGCTATTGTAATATCTCTAAGAACCAATAAATGTGCTCACAAGAGAAAGCCAGTAACTGGGCATTAGCCCTAGAGAGGGAGCCAGAAGCCAAGGTCTAAGAGCATCTGTCTCAGAAGAGGTGTTTGCCTCCTTGTCCCCATCCATTGTCCCAGGCCCAAACTTCTGAAGTCAGGGGGACCTAAAGAAGCCAGTGAGGTGAGAAACAGAGGGAAGGAGTAGATGAGCAATGAGAGGTTGGAGTAGCCCATCCCCTCTCCCCACGCGCAGCCCAGTCATGAATTGGGAGAGGGGAGGAGGGTTTGGAAAGGGAGGGGTAGGGCTTCAGTTTGGATGTAAGTGAAGTTTTATTTGAACTGGAGGCCTTTAATACCTTTAGCTGAGATGGGACTATTTTTGGGACTGTCGGGCTGTGGGGTGTGCTCACGGGCGGGAAGAGAGTTCTGAGAGCACAGCTTTGAAGGAAGTGGCTGAAGAGCACATTGTTTGTTCATATCCTAATGAGCTCAGTCTGCTTCATCACCCAGCTGTGTGCATTTACATGCATTTTGCTTTTGGAGACTTAAGTTATTTAGCTGATATTTCTATAGTTTTTCTGAAGTGCAATTATTTTTATGTTTATTATTACTTTTTTTACATTGCAAAAGATAAAAGTGAACCAACTAGTCACTTTCCAGCAAAAACAAATTCTTTTAACTGAAAATGGAACCAATTATTTCAGTGATGATTACCTAGAATGTTGGAGAATAGTATAGATCCCCTTAATAGATTGCCTTTTCAACACCATAAAGACCTGTAGCTATATGGCAAAACATTCGTTTTCAGCAATTTGCATGATTTTGCTTATTAAACTATCTAGTTACATTTTGCAATACGTAACAAAGTGTAAGCAGAATCTTACTCTGTGTTCTGTTTATACTGTTTAAATTTCACATTCTAGTGTTTTTGGTCCATCCCTTCAAAAAGCATCTTATTTGAAGGTCAACTAAATGAGCCTTTGGTGTCATCTCATTTCTGTACCAACGATAAAATGTAACATTTAATAAGTACTTACCATTTGCCATACTTGGTGCTGGAGGCTTCACGTGGATTTTTTTCATGTAACGTCATTTTGAAAGAGAGTGTATGTTGCAGGGAGAGCTGTGGGGAGAGAAGCTCCCAGTGTTTACTGTTTGAATGCTGTCATTTTTCCTCTGCTAGAAGAGCATCTCCTGAAAATAGTGTCATTGTCTGTGCCTGGCACACAGAAGATGCTCAATAAATATTTCTTGAATCCACTGAATGAATGTCAAATACCCCATATGCCCATTTGATGTCATAGAGAGACATCATTTAACTCTCTGACAATCCACAAAACATGAATAAAAAGGAGAACACAGCACTGTTACCATCTAAAGCTATGACATCAGAAGTTATCCATAAAAGACCATACCATGGAAGATCTCATATAGCTCACTAGAGAATTTTGGAGCTAGAGGATCATGAATGAACCTGGACATAATCTGATCTAAGTTGCCTGTTGGAAAGATTCCTCTGGAAGAGTGTGGAGGATGGAACTGAGGAGTGCCAGAATGGAGGTGGGCTGATTGGGAAGGCCCAGTGGTTCCTGAGTTTGACCATCAGAACCTCTTGCAAAATATCATAAAACACAGATCCCTGGGCCCAAGCCCACATCTACTGCGTAGACCTTCTGGTGAGAGCTCAGGCATCTGTGCTCTTCATAAGGCTCCCCAGGTGACTCTCATCAGCCAGGCCCGGGGGCCCTTCCATCTGCACTGCAGTATGCCCTGTGTTAGATGATGAGGGTCTACCCCAGTTGGGGCGGTACTTTCATCCACCTTGGCTTACATAGGCTCTCTTTCAGAGATGTCTTGTCATTCAAAGGTAAGAAGATAACCTAAGAAAAATGTGTAAGAGATTTAAGGGGCAACATTGAGCATGAAACTCAGTGACACCCAGTATTGGTCTTACATGCTTTGGATCTATTCATTCTTTCCAAGCCCATTTTCAGTAGAGAGCAAAGACCACATCCAGGCAGCAGAAGGACAGGAAGGGGAATGCAACCAAAAGAAGTTCAAGGACAGCGAAGATGACCTGGAATTCTGGAACAAGCCCTCTTTGTTTACTCCTGAATCTCGATTGGAAACACTTAGGCATATGGAAAAACAACGGAAGGACCAAGAAAAATTAAGGTATTTCATTTTTTCCAATCATTGAGAGAGATACAACGCTCTCCTAGGGATTATATATTCATGATTGCGCATGATTTGGCTCCTTATGTGCATTCAGTCTTTGCTAGCCATCACGCATTGACTTTGCTTCTTCTAGGTCCAGCTTCCTGTTGCATTGTATCTACTAATGTTTGTTAATATCAGACTCCATTCTTTAGGATGTCATGAATGATGGCATTTTAGGTAGTTTTGTTTGGATGTCTTTAATTTTTTAACAATTTTCAGCGAATCAAATGCAAGTATGTCCTGGGTTAGATATACTGATTATCATGCCACCAAGAAAAGGGATGAGTAAGTTCCTTTGTGTCTCGTAATTTGCAAAATTAGAAATTAGTTTCACTAGGCATTCTATTTTCCTAATACAACTCTCGGACATTCCCCGGTATGCTTTCACTTCTGAATTGTTTAGATGTAACTTGATGATTTGTTAGAAGCTGGAATGCTTAAACTGTTATTCTCAGAGAGGCTTTTTAAAAGCTAAGCTCTGTGTCATTTCATGTCATTGCTCAGGTCTAGTATGTAAAATGTACCACTTATGGAAATACTTCTAATTCCTGTGCTTGGGAATGGGATCATTTAGCTCTGATATACCGCTGTCTGCATGGAAGTCACGAGAGTGAAGCACAGTGTCTTTCCCTGTGATTATCGACTGAAAGCAAGAACCTAAAAGATTAAAAAACACTAGTAGCCACCATACAGTACATCATTAGTTTTTGATGTAGTGATCCATGACTCATTGTTTGTGTATAACACCCAGTGCTCAATGCAACACATGCCCTCCTTAATACCCATCACCGGGCTAACATAATATAATTAAAATAGAAATAAAAATAAAAAAGACTATTAGCAATTGCTGCTGCTTTCATGCCATTTTATTCATTAGCTAGATGATAGGGAGGTACCAAAATTGAATTTTATCCAAAATGCTTGTTTGTAAAATGTGGTAGTTTGTACACAGAAAAGCCACCCCATGCTTTGGGGAGAGCATTGGAATAGCATCTGAAAATGTGGGCTCACGTGACGACTCTGCCACTTACTGTCTATGGGATGCTGGCAAATACCTAACTTCGCATCTGTTTCCTCGTCTGCTAAACAGAGATTCTTGTCCCTGCCTTACCTCCCCCGCTACGTTGTTAAGACAATCATAGGAGCCAATGTGTAAAAGTACTTTGCAGACTTAAGAAACTTCTGAAATGGAAATTCGACATGTTTTTATATAATATGTATCATTTTTCTGACATATATGCAATGTACACGCATATATACACATCATATGTATATATGTTTACATAGATAAAATGTATATATAGTACAATATATTGTGTAGTACATTGTATTGAGCCTGAAACCAGGAAACATTTTTTTCTCTCCCTAACAGCCAAAATAAAGTACAGCTGAATTGGGTAGAAGTCCAAGTCACTCCGTACAGTATGCTCTAGTGTACCCAGTCCTATGGGTCCTTGAGATGTTTGCCTCTCCTGGATGTCCCTTGATTGTCCTGGGTCATGGAGAATAATGCAGTACAGGGACATATTAACTTATTGGACCTGGGGACGCAGTTTAAGATGCAGAAAAATGTGCATAAATTTACATTCCAAAATAAAGTTAACTGATACAAAATCGTACTAAAAGAATAGAAATCCAAGGCAAAGAATTGCCTACAGTTCCATCTTCTAAACACATTTCTCCATCTGGTCTTCCAGTGCTCATCCACATATGCCTTTTTAAGTTTGTATATATCTTCGTTACTGTTTAAATAGCTAGAACTTACATTCTACACTTTTCTTTCATGCTATCCCATGAACCTTTCCTCTCTGCACCATTTCTTTTCCTCCTGTCTCTACCCCCTTTAGGTAATGAGTGTTAACAGGCTGGGGTCAATCTCACCAGAACTTTCTCCACCCTCTACAATCGTATAAATCATCTCTGCAAATGTATGATTTGGGATCTTTTTTAAAAAACAAAAATGGACTTATATTTTATGTATTTGTGCTCGCTAAATAACATCATCAACATTTTCTATCACTTTTGAGACCAATAGGTAAAGAGCAAACACATTTTTTAACAACCGCAAACTATTTCATAGCATGAGCATACCACAGTGGAGCCAATGACCCCTCCACTGATGGACATTCATCATAGTTCCGGGGTTTTGCCGCTACTAAGACTGTGATAGACATCCTTTTATGTAGATTCTTATGTACTGGTATTTTTATTTCTATAGAATAGAATCTACTTGGCATTTTAAAAATTATCATTTTTAACTAAAGCAGAGGCTGTATACACAAACAGGGAATTGACAGTTATCTGGCCAAATCATGCATAAAATAGGCTAATTTAAATATTCATGGATATTTCATGAAAAGGAAGGATCTCCTCCCCCCCCATTTGAATTATTTGCCAAATTGTCTTGGTCACATTTTTGCTTTACAGCTATAGATACAATCATAAAGAAATCTGGCTTGGTTGTCAATTCCCAGCATAGCATTAAAAGAATGGGCTTCATAACAGTGAATTGTTGATGTATTCAGATACCTGATCAATTTTTTCTTAAACTGTTTCACAAAAATATTTCTTTTACATTCCCTTTGTTTATTTTTCTCTTTCTCCATTGCCCCTTGTTCCCATCCACCTCCAATCTTAAGTGAAAAGAAGAAGAAAGTGAAACCACCCAGGATTTTGATCACTAAAGATGGGAAAGCCTTGAATGTAAATGATCCCAAGTACGTGAGGCCCAAAGGGATACTCGAAGAAGCAGAATGTATGGTGGTGGTCATTACGATGGTTTTCATTTGCAGGTTTGCTCTGTGGAGAATATATCTAACGGCTCTTAACAAGCCTGATGAGCCTAATAGGAATGTCATTGTGTGCATATTTGAAAGCAGAGCATCTATGATGTTTTCTAGTACATGATGTCATATTTCATTGTCTTGGCATTCAGAACATGATCTTGACATTTGGAAATCCTAGTTATTTATGTATCCCCTGAAACTTTGGACCATATACAGTTTTCTGCCTGAAAATTCCAAGTGCATTATTGTTATGTTTCTTAATGTTTAAAGCTCTGCCGTGAACAAGCTGGCTGAGAATACTGGTACCTCTCCCTTGTGTCTGTCTACTTTACACTCTGGGACACGTCTACAAAGCCCTGGAGGCCCAAGGAAAGAAACTGATGTGGATACTTCAGTGACATTAATGAGAGAGGGAAAATATTCAAACCAGAAATCCTCAGGGATAACCATATCTACCCTGTCGGGCTGTCTTAAAATTTAAAACTAGAAAGAAGACAAAAAAAAAAAAAAAAGGTCTTTTGTAGCCAAAATACAGACCAAAAAGCCTTTGGACTAAATCTTGTTGGCTTCATTTCATTGCTCAAAGCCTGTTTGTTTCCCTTTCCTTTTCTATGCCAGGACCAGGAGAAAGGGACTGTCTTGATCATTCCCAGTCATCATTCATTCCATCTGCCTGGCGATCTCATGTGACGGGCAGTATTTGTTTCTCATGGGTTCCAAACCTGAGCTTGAGAGAGGTGGAGTGACTTGCCCAGGCTAATGGATGGTGTGTCTGACTTGCTCATGCGAACCCAGTGCTAGTGACTTCCATGATCAAGTTTATATCTGCCACACAGCACATCCCCTCTTTATCCTGCAGAAATTAAGGTAGCATAAGACCCGATGCCAGGCATGAGGATACAGCAGTGAATATGACAGGTGTCTGCGTTCGTTGAGCTCAGAAATTTGGTGGGAAGATGGTCTCTCTTCAGCCTATGGCAGGGCCTGAGGGAGACCCTCAGGGCTCTCTGGGCCCCTGGGGAGACCACCTCTCCTCACACCACACTGACCACATTATGGGCCCCTACTGCTGACCCTAGGGGAATTCCGTGAGGAACAGCATACCCACCACTTGCCCCTACCACCTACTTTCATCCTGCTGTGGTCACCCTTCCTCACCCTCCTGGGTCATCTGTCACCACCCAGAAAGTTATTCCCGTGTGGCTCTGTACCCCTCCTAATCCACCTCATTCCCTTCCTCCTCCCTGACCCCTTCTTCCCTGCCACCGTGCCCTCTGGAGCTTGTGCCTCGTCAGCAAAGCCTCTATTCTCAGCCTTTTCTCTCAGGGTCCCTTTTATCCTCTTTCATGAATGGAAACTAAGAATTCTGCCTCTACAGCTGCCCTCCTTATTCTCCCTTGCAATGTCTACCCAAGGAAAATTGTACCTTGTAGCTACTTTCAGACCATTTCTCTTCCCTTTCCCTAATCGTTCCCAGCCCCCTTGGAGCACAGGCCCTCTAGATACACCACCCTTGTCCTTCTGCAGTCATGGACTCACCCCTGCTCAACCCTCATGCTCGCCCTCTGCCCCACGCACTGCAGAAGACTGTTGCATGCAGACCAGTGTCTTTGTCTCTGCCTCTCCTCCCATCATCAGTTGTGTGACTTCATCCTCCATGTAGACCATCCACCCCAGCCTTGGCCTTTCTGGCCCTCCACCGCCTCACTCCCCACCATCATCTCCCCCTCAGGCCGGCCACACAATCCACTTTTATTCTCAGATTTGCCATCTTCTGTATCTCTTCCACATCCAGAATCTTCCCTGGAGTGTCCCGCTGGACACCATCCCCTGTACTCCCGGGGAGCTTCCTGAGCTCCAACAATCACCTGGCCCATGAGGACCAAGAATCAGTTCATCTCCTGGTTTTCTGGCTGCCCCCTGCCCCTCATGGCCTCCCCTTCTGTCACTCTGCTGTGGTTTTATGGTTCATCACAGAGATTCGCCCTTGACACGGATCTTCAACTCTTTTGTCCTTCTTTCCTTCCCTTATGTTCATTCTCACATCCTCCTCTCAACCCTATTGCAATCAAACACGCATTTCTAGACTTGCCCTCCTGCATGCCTGGAGGAAAACACCCGCGTCTACTTGCTGGTCTACTGGAAACTTACTACCCTGTATCTCAAGTGGACTTCCGCAAATCATACTGTATTTTGTTGGGTAATTCACTCCTCCAATCTCCCATAGGCTGCTTTCACCCCTTTTGCTCCCTTATTACTTCTGTTCTATGGTTCCAACTGGGGACCTTATTTCATACTCCATAGAGAAAACAGAAGAAATTAGAAGTTTTCTCACCAATTTATCGGTGTCCCTGGACCTGTAGCACATACTCTGTATTCTCCTGCTGCGGTGGGTGAACTTCCCCTCCTGAGTATCTCTCTCTGTGGGCATACTGATCCCACCCCTCATCCTGTCAAGGACTTGCTTCTGCAGTGACCCTTCTCTTCTGTATCATTTCTCTCCCTCCTACTAGACCCATCTCATCAGTTTATAGACACTGTGATATCATCCATCTAAAAAAAAACAAGTAAGCTCCCTTTCTCTAGTTTCCTGGCAGCTACAGTCCTATTTCTCTGTCCCCTCTAAGTAGCCAAAGTTCCCCGTGGACATGCTGGACTCAGTCACCAGCTCCTCACTTCACTTTCCTTCTTGAAACCATGTCTGCATATTCTGTCACCTAAAACTTTTGTAGTCAAATCATTTTTATATGTTCGTATCATTTCTGTGTTCTATGTTTCTATCATCTCTGTTCGCTGTTCACATCACCTCTCTGTTCAGTCACATCGTTTCAAATCTCAGGCCCTATGTACTTGACCCAGCAAATTTGACCAAATTGATCATTACCTTTCTTCTTTTTTTTTTTTTAAAGATTTATTTGTTTATTTTAGAGGGGAGAGGGGCAGAGGAAGAGGGAGAGAGAGAGAGAATCCTCAAGCAGACTCCCCACTGAGCACAGAGTCCAACACAGGGCTCCATCCCAGGACCCTGAGATCATGACTCAAGCCAAAATCAAGAGTCGATGCTTAATGGACTGAGCCACCCAGGTGCCCCCATCATTACCTTCCATCTTATAGCAGTTTCTTCCCTTTGCCTCTGATTCTTTGACCTTCCTACTTGTTCATCTTCACAGGCTTTGCCTGATTCTCTTTGTGATGTACCTGGGTGCTCCCGGGCCAACTCCTCAGCTGCCTTGTCCTTTCACATTGACTCTGTGGGGCTCTCACCAAACCCCATGGTTTTAAACACTTATCTTTACATTATAACCAGACCAACCTCTTCCCTGAACTCAAGACTTGGATGTTTAATTAGCTATTTGTCCTCACCGTGTGAATATGAATTAGGTATTGTAAGCTCACCATGACAGAAACAGAAGTCCTAATTCCCATGCCCACTACCACTTTCCCTCATAACACGCTTGTCCCCCTACGTTCTCCAACTCAGTAGCGAGCATCCCCCATTTAGCAAGACCAAAAATCTTGGATCCATCCTTGATTCTTCTCTCTGTCATATTATCAGTGACTGTGTGATCTCTTCCTTCAGTATCACCTGAATCCAACTGCTTCTCACTTACTCCACCCCCCCATCTTAGAATACGTCATCTGCCTCTTGCCTAGACAGTTACAACAGTTTGCTAAGTAGTCTCTGTGGCTCATTTCTTGGCCTCCCTTAATCTCTTCTGTTCAGTTGGGTGAAGAAGAAGAGAGGGAGGAAAGGGCACACACTCTCTCTCTTTAGGGAAATTCCTGGAGAGCACCATAAGGTGCTCTCCTTCACAGAGCTAAATCACACGACCATATCCAGCTGCAGGGGAGGCTGGAAAGTGTTGTCTTTATTCTGCACGGCCACGTTCCTTGTTAAAATCAGGGGTCCTATTACTATGGATAAAGGGGAAGTGGACTGTGGGGAATGAATAGCAATTTCTGCTATAGAAAACCTCTCTGAAATTACCTTTCAAGTGATAAATGAAGGGAGAGTTCAAGTTGGCTGGCTGGACAATTGGGGAATAAGCAATCAAGGCAGAGGGGGCCCGCACATAAGAAAGCTCCTGACATGAGATCATGAATGCATGGGTCATTTGAGCACCTGAAGGAGTCCCGCATGGCTGGGTTGTTGAATGCACCAAGAGGGATGGCCACACAGACATTCCGCTGACGGCCAAATCGTTCCAAACAATTTAGCTTACACTCTTTAATATTATCGGATTATATATTTTACAGAATAATATGACAAGTGATGTGCTCAAAATAAATCAACCAAAATAATTCTGAATGGTATGTTGCCACTATGGAAGTTATACCTAGGAAGTTGAAAGATGTAGGACTTTGTTTTTGCTTTGTTTTTTTTAAAGATTTTATTTATTTATTTGGTAGAGCACAAGCAGGCGGGGCAGCAGGCAGAAGGGGAGGGAGAATGAGAAGCAGGCTCCCTGCTGAGCAAGGAGCCCAATGTGGGCTTCATGTGGGGCTTGATCCCAGGACCCTGGGATCATGACCTGAGCCAAGGGCAGATGCTTAACTAACTGAGCCACCCAGGCGCCCCACATGTGGGACTTTGAAATCGTGCCTCTCCAGGCTCATATGGCCTCTTTCCCAGCTGGGTCAACCTTTCTGAACCTTTGTTTCATCATCTGTGTGGAGGTGATAGATCATGGGCAGTGTCAGCATTTTCCGGGGCGATGCAAAGGTCAACAACGAAAGGAGAAAAAGAGAGATTGCAAGGAGAGAGAAGGAAGACAAGACTATTTAAAACAGAAGGGATAGGGGCGCCTGGGTGACTCAGTGAGTTAAGCGTCTGACTTTTGATTTCCGCTCAGGTCATGATCTCAGGGTCGTGGGATGGAGCTGCGCATTGGGCTCTATACTCAGCACGGAGTCTGCTTTCCCTCTCCCTCTGCTCCTCTCCCTGCTTGTGCTCACTCGCTCATGCTCTCGCTTTCTCTCTCTTTCTCTACCTTTAAAATAAATAAAATCTAAAAAAACAAAAACAAAAAAACCGAAGGGATAGAATCCTGGATACAGGGAGGCAAATATAACATTTACTTCCCCATAAATAAGTCCAGTGTTTTAGTTTGCTTCTAGCAAACTTGAATGAAATAGAAAAGGAAGCTTTAACCACCAGATGTCTCTGTATCTGCACCAATGCTAATTTTCTGTGTGTTATTTACCTTAGGATTCTCACATGTTAACAATGTAAACAAATAATTGATGAATATATTGTAGATTTCTGTTGAATTTTTTTTAAATGTAGACATTTTATTGTCCACCTACCAAAATAAGTTTGTCATTGGAGATTATTGTACAATTATTACCAAGTTTACTTTAGATAATGGGATGGGTTATCTATACAGTATTGCTAAAGACATCGTCTTTTTTTCCCCCAAATGGATTATTCCTTAGACTTGACTTCTCCTTGAAAGATGATGAAAAACGTAACCAGATCATCCTGGACCTTGCTGTCTATAGGTAAAGACGTTTCATTATGGATTTATTTAATGTCATTTCTTTCTGTTTTTGTTCTCAGTGCCATCTCTTGAGTTCTCAAGTATTTTGAAATGGAATTTGGTTTGCCAAATGAAGGCGTCCTTCTTTTTTTAAGACCGAGAATGTACTGTAATTTGAAAAAGCATGAAAATTAAACAAAGGCAGAAGTAAATAAACCCACAATCCCAGTGCTAAGAACTCTGCGATCTCTTCTTCTAAGGCAGAGTTTAAATAATTCTCAGAGCTTTACTGCTTCCTAATGCTGATACCACAGGCCCCCTCAGCTCTCATACTACCACTGTACTTTTTATGGTCTCTTTCTTTTTTCTAAAACATTTTGATATGGTAGTAAGCGTCAGGTGGTGTCCCCCACCTTCCAGTCCCACCTTAGAGACCCAGGGGTAGAGCCTGCAACTTTTTTATCTCCAGCAGACACTTTTTCCCCAGCTGTGTCCTACCCTGCCTCATTCCTTGAGGATTTTTAAGTTTTGGCTCACTGTCCTTCATGCTTCTGACTTCAGTGACCACCTATGGGGTCTTTCTAATTCTCCAGTCCTTTGGGACCCCCAGTGCCTCAGGATTTGCACCCATGCATCCATCTGCCTGTGCCACTGTCACGCTAGGCGTCCATGGGGCTTGCTGCCTCATTTCCTGCGGGCCTCTGGGCAGAGGTCACTTTAGTATAGAGTCCTCTCCGCCCACCACCCGATCTAAGCGCATATTCCCTGCTCCAGCACTTCCTTTCCCCTCTCCTGCCCTTTGATTTCTACCTGACCAACCATACATTTACTTGTATTTCTAAAAATGTGCGGGCAAGGCAGGAACTTTGTTTTGTTTGTTCCTTCCTCCTTGTCTCTCCAGCACCCACACCAGCGCCTAGCACCTGGAGCTCTGTGAGCTCAGGAATGAATGAATGCCTGAGTGAATGAACGAATGAATGAATACCGGTAATGGGAATCAGAGGACATGTACAAGCATGAATGATAATAAAGTCCTTTCTCTTTTGAAGGCCTTTTTTTGTGTGCTCTATCTTATCTAATCTCCCAGTAAACCCAGTGGGGTATGAGGGGTTGTCATCCTGAAATTATCTAGAAGGGAGTAATTTTGGAGGGTAAGTCTTGTCAAAATAAATACTCACGGGCCGAGGGCCAACTCTTTGTTTTTTTTAATTGTTATTTTAATTTAAATATACATCACTTAAAATTTACCCTGTCAGCCATTTCAAGTGGAGATTCAGTGGCCCTCAGTGACTTCACCATGCCCTGCAGCCTTGCCAGCACAGAGCCCCAGCACATTTTCATCATGGCAAAAAGGAAACCCCATACCCATTAAGTACTCATTCCTCATCTCCCTTGCCCCTGGCAACTGCAGATCTACCTTCTGTCTCTGTAGATTTGCCAATTCCCGATACTTCATATAGGTGGAATCACGCACGCCTCGGGGTCACGTCTTCAGGGTTCGCCTGTGTTGTAGTGTGTCAGAATTCCCTTCCTGTTTGTGGCCGAATAATATTCCATTGTATGGCTGGGCCACACTTCTGTTCATCCGTTCATCAGTACATGACATTTGGTTGTTTCCACCTTCGGCTCTTGTGAGGAAGGACTGGTTCTTAGTGTGTACCTTCCTCCTCGTGCTGAGCCACCCCATGACGCCTCCTGCTGCCCCCACGCTGCCTGCCCACCTGCCTTTAAAAGGCTTCTAGCTCTTCTCCAGCTGATCCCATGTCCTCTGTCCTTGCAGCAACCCAATCTCCCTTCTGCTGTGTTTCATTAAATATCCAGTTTCATACTTTTAAGTCCTCCTTTCCATGTTTAGGCCATATTCCTGGAGTTTAATGAATGTGTACCCCTTTCTCTTTGTAGCTCGCTTGGCTCCTTCACGTTCAGTCCTCAAATGAAAGCTTTCCCCATCGCCCTGTCATGTACTTTTTCAAGGAGTGGTGAGATTTCTGCTGTCTAGGTAGTGAAATCCTTCCCTTCCCATGATTCTGTCTGCACTAATGACACTAAAATTCCTTGTTAGCTTCACTGGCATGTGGATGTATGAAAATTACGTTCATTCATTCATTCATTCATTCACATATGCTTCCTGTCTTTATCCAGCAAATATCTATAGAATACCTACTATGTATCAGGCACGGGGAGACTGTAACGGGCATGTTCGGTTTACAGTCTCTGCTGGTCCTAGAGCTTATGGCCCTGTGGTGAGACAGACAATAAACAGGCAGGCATCTAATACGTAATTACAAAGGGAGAAGCGTGCTGTACAGGAAGGGCCAGAGTTCAGGGGTGGAGACCAATGGCGTGCACAGTCTGGTGGTCGGCAGCATGGGGATGGTCAGGGAAGCTGCTGACATGAGCTGACAATTGAAGGGTGAGAAGCAGTGAGCTCTGTGGAGAACCAGCAGAGGATTGTTTCAGGCAGAGGACACCAGCACAGGCCAAGACCTTGGACATAGGGGCAGAGGAACGCTTTAGGAGACTGTACACATGGACAAGAAGATGTGATCCATTAATGCGGTAGCTATTCAACATGAGGTTTTAGGAAACCTCGCCTACACTTTTTACTCTTATAAGAATTTTTATTACATAAAATAGGACAATGCTGTGTTCACCCCAACTCTGGACTAGGCGCTCTGCCTGCGTCTTCACAGCAATCTTACGGGATAGGCACTTCACATCATATTTTACAGATGAAGAATCTGAGGCTTAGAGCAGTTGAGGAACGTGGTCCAAGGAGCAGGAGGGGGTGGAGACCCTTGCTCACAGTCCGTGTGACTGAAGCCTGTGCTCGTAGCCCTGCTGTCATCCGACCTGTCTTAACGTGTGTGACTTTTGAATCATCCTTGCATTCGCTAATGTCCGCGATCAATATTGTTAAATGTACAATGCTACCCTGCCTGATTATTGGTCTAAACAAGCGAGATGAAGCCTAACTCTTTCGTTTGTTCCTTAAGTCAAGGAGAACTGTCACCCCCTGATCCTGGGGTCACTGCCGTAGATGGAAGGCTTTGCTTGTTCAGCAGGAGGGAGCTTCACAGGGAGAAGCAGGGAGAAGCGGAGCAGGATGCTGTGGTGGCAGCTGCGGAACAGCTGCAGGGGAGGGAGAGCAGCTCGGGAAGCAGGAGCTGCTGCTTGCAGGCCCCAAGCGTCGTGGATTCAGCTTTCCTGGCTATTCATGTCAGGCGCGGGGGCTTAAAATAAAATATTCATGAAAGAACATGGCAAGCTGTTTTTCGCAAACCTCTGGTGTTTCAGGCCGCAGATATTTTTAGGTTAGGGGCAATCAATGCCAAGAGTACTTGTGGGTCTAAAAATGAAATTGCTGATATATTGAATTTCCTTTGGTTTCGGGATTAATGGAAGACAGATTTCTTAAGACCTGTTGAGCATGGAAACTGGAAGCTTCTTTCATTTAAAATGGTTCCAGAAATGGTAGTTTTTATTTGCACTTCTTTTAACTTAATGTTTTTGAAAATGGTAAGATTTGGTACATTTCACGTTGCAGGTATATGGACACCTCTTTGATCGATGTTGATGTGCAGCCAACTTATGTCCGAGTCATGGTCAAAGGAAAGGTGAGCATAATGCGGTAGACTGTTAGAGTTTCAAAAGCCAAGCCTCAAACTAAGCTAGGTTGCCTCAAAAACTGTCAACATAATATGAAAAGAGAAGAAAAGGAGTCCAATCAGAGAGCTAGTTTTTAGACACATGATTTTACACAGTGGGAGTGGTATACAGCAGGATTGGTTGTTGACTAACCACTGTGTAGCTCCATAAAATTAGCATTTTTAACTTGTGTCTATTGTGTTAGTACTTCTTTCAGATCTGATAAGGTGATTATATGTATGATAGCCTAGGCTTGAACTTAGATTGAAATAATATACCCCCCCTTAAATTGTCAATGATTTCATTCATAGCAACTGTAATTTTACTATTTTTGAAATAGTATTTTTTTTAAGAGAGAGAGAGAAAACGCAACAGGGGGAGGGGCAGAGGGAGAAGGAGAGGGAGAGAATCTTAGGCAGGCTCCACACCTAGCACAGAGCCCAGTGTGGGTTCGACCTCACAACCCTGAGATCATGATCTGAGCTGAAATCAAGAGTCGGATGCTTAACCGACTGAGCCACCCAGGCGCCCCTGAAATAGTATTTTTTTGCTGATTATGAGCACTCATAGGAGTCATATGAAGGCTTTAAAGTGAAAATATGTTGATGGTTTGTGACAAGAAGTTTTATCTATAAATTCCTTATTATTAGCCATGTTAACATAAATGGACCAATGACTGTTTCAGTGTTTGTGATTGATGACTGTTCTTTAGTCCATTCACTAAAATAGGTAAAATAATTCATGCATATCAAGCATAGCCCAGACATTTTTTTTCCTACTAAGTCTAAGCATGTTTTTAAAAATGGAATGGTGAATCTTGAATTGGTAATGAAGATACATCTTGAAGTAACCCTCTCGCATAACCTGTACTCCCTCTCTGGGACACTTCCTGTTTGTTTTCAGCCATTCCAGCTTGTCCTTCCTGCAGAAGTCAAGCCTGACAGCAGCTCTGCCAAACGGTCTCAGACGACAGGGCATTTGGTGATCTGCATGCCCAAGGTAGGCAAGGTTACTTGGGTCAATTTCAAGTCTGGGCGTGTGGGTTCCTGAAGGGACTTGACCTGTCAGGGCTGATGATGGCTTCTCTCGGTTGAGAGAACCAGAGAATCTGCCCGCCCCAGCACAGGCGGGAGGACCGGAACCTGGGAGAACGGAGAGCTGAGACTAGGGTGCGTTTGGGGCCTGTGGGCCTCATCCTGCCGTCAACCTGCCCGCGGTTCTTGCCTCTGCGGCCAGAGTGTCGCGGGGAGTTGGGGTGTGTAAGCCCCATCATTCTTCCAAGCGGGGCAGTCACCGCCGGCATGCCTATTACATGGGGTCAGTACTTTTAACCACAAAGAAGGGTTTCATCTCTTATAACAAGACATGAGAAGGTAGGACGGGCTCAGACAGGGGAGGGTCAGGGCCTCTCCAATATGTTAGCTGGCCTCCTTCCCGAGAGGCGCACGGGCGGCCACTGAGGCGGCGTGCTTTCTTGTCCTTGCCTTGCACGAAGACAGACAAACAGAGAGTCAGGGAAAGACACAGAGAGAGAAGCTTTCCCATCACTGCGGAATGAAAGTTCCTCTGGACCAATTAGCCGATTTAGCTGAAACACCCAGTAAGTCTTGATTAGCTTAACCTTGCGCAATGAAACCAGTCTCTGGCCAAAGGGATGGTAGTACTTTGGTTTCTGTCGTTTTATTTTGGTTACTCTTGTCTCATCTCATGACCTGGGGTGGGGTCCGCTTTGCCCCAGTCACTCAGGTTTCAAAGGGGTAATAGCGGAGAGAAGCCGGTCAAATGGGGCTGTGCCTCTTGCAGGAGAACAGGAGACTGGGGACAGGAGTGTCTGCCACTGAGAATAAACTTGATTAACCAGTAAGTTTCTACAATGATTTATTAATCCTTTTCCCACAGCCAGATTTGAAACAGATTGATTATGGGTAATCAATTATGTATTTTTATTCCAAGTCAATAAAACAGCAAATAAAATTTGCTGTCAGACAGTAAAATAACAAACACAACTGTGAGAATCACATTGTCCTTGGTGACTACAGCAAATTAAGAAAGTGCTTGTATGCTAATTAGAATAGCCTATAGGGGAATCGAAGAGATAACTTAATTACCCCAGTACTTTGATTGACACATTTGTATGACACTGTGATCAGCGATCTCTCTTTTTTTTTTAAACTTCTATTCTAACTAAAACACCAAACATTAAATGATAACTGTTATTTCCTAAAAGAAAATCAAGATCTATGATTTATGCACCTTCTGCAGGGTGCCAGGCGATTGATGAGAAAGCCTCCTCTGTCCCTGCTCATGGATCTTTTAAATACGTGCAGCATTCTATTTCCATTATCCTTTTTGTTTTTGTATCTGTCTAAATTTGTCATGTTAAATACACATGAAAAGTACAAAAAATGGCTCATTAAAGAAAAAGTATTCTAGAAATGCGTGGTTGAAGATGAGATCATTTACATAGAGGGCCTCAGAATGGTTCTACTTTTTTTTTCCTCGATAATAAACTATGAAGAACATTTTCCCTTTGAGGTACATATTTTTAAGGTTTTAGACTACTATGCTAAAGTAACATTGATGTTATCTCTGTCATTATTTCTTTTAAATTATTAATTATTAAATGATTTCCTCTTACCATTCCTTTATATATCTCTATCATTATCACTTTTAAAAGATAGATGGGGGAACCCTCTTGGGTTTCTCCACATCCTCGCCAACACCTGTTGTTTCCTGTGCTGTTGACTTTAATCATCCTGTCAGGTGTGAGGTGATATCTCATTGTAGTTTTGATTTGCATTTCCCTGAGGGTAAGTGATGATGAGCATCTTTTCATGTGTCTGTTGGCCATCTGGATGTCCTCTTTGGAGAAATGTCTGTTCTTGTCTCCTGCCTATTTTTTAACTGGAGTGTTTGTTTTGGGGGTGTTGAGTTTTACGGGGTTTTTTAAAAATATATTTTGGGAACTAACTCTTTATTGGGTATGTCATTTACAAATATCTCTTCCCATTCCATAGGTTGCCTTTAAGTTTTGTTGATGGTTTCCTTCGCAGTGCAGAGGCTTTTTATTTTGCTGTAGTCCCAATAGTTTATTTTTACTGTTGTTTCCCTTGCCTCAGGAGACGTATCTAGTAAGAAGTTGTTACGGCTAATGTCAGAGGTTCCTGCCTGTGTTCTCCTCTAGGATTTTAACTATTGAATCACTAAATTGTGCACCTGAAACTAAAAGATAGTGAAAACAACCTTTGGAGAATAATTTCTTGCCCTAAATTAGTTGGTTTTCATTCATGAATTAGATAACTGCAAGGACTCTGAAGTTCAAAGAACATAAACTTTTTCTTAAAAATCAGCAAAAGTTAAAAAATCAAAACTTTAATTTTACTTACACTTATTATTAAAAGTATGTATTACTGAAAATTAACATCTTCATAATTCCTAATGATTGAAACTTTCGAAGTACTGAAGTTCAATCCACTGAGCTATTTATATGTCCAGGCTTCTCACTTACTGTAGAATTGTCTGAGTCTGGCCTGCATTATATAATTACTGAAGCAGCATCTTGGAATTTTAAAGCATCTTATAAAAATCAGGTAAACACTTGGGTACAAATTTGATTCATTCATAAAATAGTGTTGTCAATACTTAACATACTGATAACCTAGTACTTCCAGAAATATCTACTGTGGCCCTTCAGTAGTTTTTAATATTCAGATGAATTAATGAAAAGAAGATCAGATTTGATATTTAGCTCTTCCCTTTTGTGATAATGTTTGTAAAGAATACTGCATAAGAGCTGACCTATTTGATTGAGTCTGTGCTGTGCTGATTATATTGTATTGATTTGTGGAAATTCAAGGGTGAGCTTCGTATACATATTCCAAGGACGTGACATTTATAATTGAATATACATTTATATACAAAGTGCTAAAATATTTATTAGACACTTCCCTCAGCATTTTGTCATAGATGTCAAATTGAAGGTTTTTTTTCTCTTTTCTTACCCCTAAATGAGGCTGGATCCATGCAGACCGGGGGCTATTAGGCAAGTTTCACCAAGTCTGCCCCCTGTCACAGGGGTCATGGCAACATTTTCTGCTGCTGACATGCCAGAGGGTTCTCCCAGCTCAGCTCCACATTTCCAAGAGGCTTTCCCCTCATGCTATCTACAACGCCAGATGCTTTCCAACATCTGCCACTGAGTCCAGATCCTGTGGATTGATGTAATTAATACACAAATATCACAGCCCCTAGCACGCTGCTAAAATTCCTCTGTCTCCACCCACCATTTTATAATCTAACTTGTGGGTACCGTGTCTCCCAGAATGCCATCCCTGACTCTACCTCCTCCACCATGACTTCAAGGGTCGATGTCTCGGTTAGCAGTGATGAGTGGGATAGTGGTTGAGGACGTACTCCGGCTCCCTCAGAAGGGTAGCATCAGCCAATAGAAGATCAACTGCCCAGGTAACAGCGGAGTAGGAAACATTCTGTTTCATGAGGTTTTTCTCCGTCCTTTCCACTGTCTGGTGGCATTTCTTTCTCGCTGCTGACACTTTTATTCACTAGTCTTAGCTCTGGGGAGTGGTAGAGAGAATCTCAATTCTAGTGTGTGTAGCCTCTTATCACATTAGATGTATCCAGTCAAGAAACATGGCCCCTGGGTGTCATCTATCAACCAGGACCTCACTTGTTTTTGGAGAGGAGTTAGTAATTCCTTTTTCAACACAGCAGCCAGAATGATCATCTTATAATATACGTAAGTCAGACCAAGTCACATTTCCCATTTCATTCAGAGGTAGAGGCAAAATGCCCTGATAACCCCCCCTGCTATTATCCCTCTGACATCGTCTTCTACTCTTTTACCTTCCAGTCATTCCAGCCACATTGGCTTTCTTGCTATTTTACAAATAGGGCAAGCATCCTTCTACCCCAGGATCTTTGCACTCATTGTCCCCTCTGTTGGAATGCCTTTCCCCCAGACACCCTCATGGTTTGCTCTTTCAACTTTTCCATGTTTCTGTTCAAGTGTTATCTTATCAATGGGGTCTTTTCCGACCCCCATATTTAGAAAGCATCTCCTCCTCTACCCCAGCATTCTCTATTACTCCTACTGCTGTATTTTTCTTCATAGAATGTATCAGGACCTATAACAGTCTATAATTTGTCTATTTCTTTGTCTGTTTCCCTCAACAAGAATTTAAACTTCATGGGAACAGGGCTTTTTGTCTGTTCTTGTCAGTACTCCGTCACTGGCACCTAAAGCAGAACCTGGCAAAGAGAAGGTGTTCAGTAAGTTTTTGTTTAATGAGTGAATACCTTGAATGTATCTTTAAAATACATTTTAGGGGCACCTGGGCGGCTCAGTTGGTTAAGCATCTGCCTTCGGCTCGGGTTGTGATCCCAGGGTCCTGGGATTGAGCCCCATGTGGGCTCCCTGCTCAGCGGGGAGCCTGCTTCTCCCTCTCCCTCTCCCTCTGCCCCACCCAACCCCACTGTTCTCTCTCTCTCTGTGTGTCTCTCTCACTCTCACTCTCTCTTGCTCAAATAAATAAATAAAAAATCTTAAAAAAATACATTTTAATATTTGGAACATGAATCTCCTCCCTGATTATTCTCTCCCCCAACCATTTCCTAATTATTTTTCCATGCATATTATTCCAGGTTAACTTTAAAATAATTTCAGGGTGCCTGGATGGCTCAGTCACTTGAGCATCTGGCTCTTGATTTCGGCTCAGGTCATGATCTCAGGGTTGTGGGATTGAGCCCCACATCAGGCTCCATGCTCAGCAGGGAGTCTGATGGAGATTCTCTCTCTCCCTCTCCTCTGCTCCTCCCCTGCTTGCACATGCTTGCTTTCTCTGTCCTTCTAAAATCAATCAATCAATCAATCTTAAAAAATAATAATAAGTTTATCTAATTCTGCTTCCAAAAATGCTGTTGGGATTTTTGTTGTCATTGCAATTTAGAAGCAGGGGAAATGATTAAGGGAAGGGGCTCTG